ATTTTTAAAATGACATTTTATGTTAAAAAAAATTATTTCTTTTGATAAACTCTCTTTAGCGGCAGCGCGTACATGCCGGAACAGCCGCGCGGAACCCTATTTTCAACGTCAAATTAAAATTATAAATAATGGAGATAGAGTTTCGGGAGTCAGGAATTTTTTATCGGACATTTCCTCCTCTTCAACGGGCTTTTTACAAAATTGCTTGAATATTAATATTTTTTGAGTTATTAACGAAAAACTCAATACCATTTTTTATCTTATTTTGTTAATAACAATTGCAATGTTTTACCTGCATCAAAATCCTTCAAAAACATTTTTCTAGAGGTGATTCCGAATCGAATGAGCTATCGCTCATATGTTTAGGACCTTTATTTCTATTTTTCATGTTTTTGAACTTGTTGATAAGACTAAGCACATCATGAACTCAGCACATCAACAACGTGGGAGAACTCAAGGAAATGGTTATGGCATATCGTTGGCTCAAGTCATGACATTTTTTCGAATGTTTTAAATTTGAAACGCAAGGCAGCAAAATTGTGTTACAAAATTGATGAATTTCAAACTAAAACAGTGTTGAAGTTGTTCAGAAGTTACTTAATGACCTCAACGACGACGCAGAATTACTGCGTGACCAAACATGAGTTCATGGATATGACTTTGAAACTGAAGCTCAATCGTCCCAGTAGAGGCATTCTGGCTGGCCAAGACAAAAGCTCGACAAGTGTAGTCAAAACGTGGAGGTTATGCTCACTGTGTAATGATTTGTTGCCACAAGGTCCAACGATCAATGAGGATTACTTCCTACCAGTTCAACGCCATTGCGTGAAACAATCCAAAGAAAACGCCTGGCTTGTGAACAAACAATTCATGGATTTCGTGCTACGATGATGAACTTGCTCATACTTCATTACTTCTTCATGAATTTTTGAACAAGAATAATACTGTAAGGAGGCCTCAGCCTCCATATTCACCAGACATGGTTCTTCGTAACTTTTTTCTATTTCTAAAAATAACGAGAATCTCAAAAGGGCATCGTTTAAAAAGCATAGATGAGAAAGCGTATTGTTGAAAGAGCGAAAGGCTATCCCAAAGATCGAGTTTTGAGAAGTGTTCCGAGAATTGATGGCGACTATTCGAAAATTCCCATTATTTTCTGAACACAACTTTTTCCAAAAAAAAAAATCAAATTACTATTCCTCACCTTCACTGCCAGTGGATAATTCGCATCCAGAACTCCATGGCATGATACTGTAATAGGAGTGCCAGTATTCAAAAGAAGCATCAAGAGTGTACGTCTATTATGAACGTTGAATTGTTCCCAGGGGCATTTGCAGGCGTTCAGGAAAACTATCTCGGACTGAAATTACGAAGTGTTGCAATGAAATTACCAAAGTCGCTTGATGAAATATCATAGCGTTTAGAAAAACTGAATAGTTTTTCTAAACGAAATATTGGGTTGTATAAAAAGTTTTGTCCGTTTTAATACACTTTTGCCAACGTTAAACAAGTATATCAATTCCGTAGGCATGGAAATTGAGTGCTCGGAATTCGACGAAGTCGACGAAGGTCGTTTTTGCCTGCTCCTAATTGACGAGGGTTTTACCGCCATACTCTCCAGACCTCATGCTAACCCACTACCATCTTTTCAAGCACTCCGATAACTTCCTCAGCGGTGGAACCTTCGCCAATCAGCACCAGGCAAAAACGGCCTTCGTCGACTTCATTGAATCCCTAGCGACGAAATTACTCGACGGAATTATTCGACTCGTGTTTCGTTGGCAAAAGAGCACTGTTTGAAATTGCGCTCAATTCGATTTAATCAAATGAGTATTCACTGTGATACTACAGTTTAAAGAAGACCCATAAACAAAAAAACTTTTGAAACAATCAATATGGAAAAAGTTAATAAATACCTGTAAGTTAACAAACAAATCTTAGTCTGAAATAGGTGAAAAAAATTATAATATTTTATAATGTTCGCTCGATTACACAGGTCTGCGATGAAAAAATTGTAGGATATTTAACTAGTGATTTTATCAGTATTTTGTGTGCAGATTACGGAAAAAATAGTAAAAAAATTCTATCACCNAATGAAACAGTTTGTGAAAGATTGTTTCAAGTATCTTTCTGAAAAGTTTCCTGGTCTATCCGATGCTCAACTAAAAGAAGGAGTCTTTGTTGGGCCTGCCATAAGAAAACTTCAAAAAGATGAAAGTTTTGTCACCAAAATTGAAATGAAAGAAAAAAATGCCTGGAATTCATTTAAACATGTTATAACAGGCTTTCTTGCAAACAAAAAAGAACCAAACTACAAAACTTTGGTTGCTGAATTGATACAGAACTACAAAATGTTGGGCTGCAACATGAGTGTCAATTTCCTTCACTCACATCTGGAATACTTTCCCGAAAATGTAGGGGCTGTAAGTGAAGAAAAAGAAGAACGGTTCCATCAAGACAAAAGAAATGGAACGCAGATACCAAAGTCGGTGGAATGTTAACATGATGGCAGACTACTGGTGGATGTTAAAAAGGGAAAATTTACAAGAACACAGCCAAAAAAGTACCGAAAGATGCTTTGACGAAAAAAAAACATTTTCACAAAGACTTATAATCACTTTGCAAACACTTGTATATCACTATTATGCTTAGTTTAGCTATGTAGCATTGTTTTTTTGCTTTTTCTTCATGTTAAAATAATAAAAACAAATACACAATTTCTCGTTTTTTTGTACTTTTTCAATTATTTCATCTTTATTTTGTAGGCAAACCTTACGTGATAGATAAACACAAATGTCATTTTTGAAATCAGCGCAAAATACTACATAAAGATCAGTTAAAGAAATCAAAACAATTTTTGGAAAGTTTTTTTGCAGACCCGTGTTATTGAAAATCAAGAATGAATATTTACATATTACATTTGTCACAAATGACTACGCCTTAAGTTCGACAAAATGGTATCCGTATGAGCCAACGGTCCATAACACCGTACATGTTCCACTTGTTACGAGAAAACGGGATCAAATTCGGAGTGTATCCTGAATTCTGGCGAGTATATTCATTCCAACCGAGCGACATATAAAACAAATACACATGTAACAAGAAAGCATATGCCGTACCCAACATATACTCGTCTCAATTACCTACTCGTCCCAATTGGTCGATGTGTATAAATAACTACGGCTAGTGTGTAACGTTACATAACCGTCCATTTACTCTACAAATGGAACGCGGCTTAGGAGCGGTAGGGGCAAAAATCAATAGTTTCGTTTCCACTAGCTGCAAGGTAATGTATTCTCGTTTATTACAAGTAAGTGATCTGTTCAAAAAATAAGGTGAATTTTCATTTTTCTTAAAGAATATTTATTTATTCATCAATTTCTATTGGGTCCTCTTCAATGTAATCTGCCTTAGATATAAAACACTTGTATAGTCGAAGTAAACGATATTGTGAACATTTAAAGTTGACGGCACTCTCAAAGGCCAAAAAAACCAATACATAGAAATGAACCGGCTGGGAAATAGTACACGTGGACTGCAGAATTGGCGGTTCGTATAGGATAATTTTTACTAACCGAGTTTTATGATTAGTTGAAGAGTCATAAAATTAAATTTGTAAACATGTTACGGTGACGAATAAAAATCAAGGAAGGTTATCGCCGTCGTGTTCAGTTCAGGAACGGATCGTGATTCGAGTGTTGAAATTCGATATTGGTGCAGTTATAATTATTTAAAATTTTTGTTATCTGTTTAAAATGTGGCGTCCTTGGACAAGTACTAATAGTAATTCGCGTAATTTTCCCAAGATATTTGTCTACTTGAAAAAAAATAATTCTAGTCTATTTTTTCTGCTTATATTTTATTCAAAATCATTCTTACCTCATTCGTGAGTCGTTGACAATATTCACAAAAGGACCAAAGGACTACACAAGCTGTCATGATCATTAGATATATACGAAGGTTACTTCTAGGACTCACATCCTACAACAAGTACTGGATAAAGAATATGTTCCAATCAAAAAGTTAGATGAAATTAAAAATTATAATAAATATATATACACATTGTTACAAACTTTTGAACTCAGCAACTCTTTTATTCCGTAAGTTCATAAGTTACAAATATTTCAGTGATCTATTCATGCTTTTTGGTGGGAACCTGGCCGATACTTTATAAAAATATGTAATGNATAACTCTGTCCTGGGTCTGCGACTGAAAACACCTGCACCAGAACCGGAAGGTGGGTCAAGTGGCACATCATTTTGATAGGCATTCAATTCTGTTTCCAATGGTACCCTGACTTATCATTTTTTGATGAGGTGATAACCCGAAGACGATTGTGGGTACTAACAATGGGAACGTCGTGCAGTAACTTGGTTTGGAATCTTTTGATTTTTACTATTTCATTTCTTGTTAATAATTTTTAATTTTCAATTCGTGTGAATAGTTTAATTTTTTAGAATTTTTGGTTGTTGCTTGTATTTTATTTCATTGTAAATTCAGTTTTTCTGCTTCATATAATTGTTATTTTTCAGCTAACCTTTTTAATTTTTTACATATTTTTTCAGAGATTTCAAATCAATTTATATCATATTAGACAATGCAAGTCCGAACTAATGACCTTCAGACAAGTGAGATTTTTCTACTTGTATCAAAAGCATTCGCTAATTAAAGTTAGGTTAGATCCAAAGTGAATGGATCTATTCGACTCTCTACCGCAACCCCTAAGGGTTTATTGTGGCTCACACATATTCACACTTGACCAAATGAAGCCAGCTTCTTAACGAAGCCGGTAAGTTTGTTTGGTGAGTTGTCTTTCAGGTCAGTACGGCTCTGCCGAACCCTAAAAACCTGATTCGGTCCCCAGCGGGCCAGGCCAAAGTATGTGCACTGCCGTTTCATCATTTTCCAAACAGAGGTGACACACACTATCTTCCGACAGTCCGACTTTCTGCATATGATAATTCAAATGTCAGTGACCTGTAAGAAGGCCTGTTAGACATCGTAGTTCATCCATACTTATCGACAGCCATCTTGAGATCTTCCAGGCTGGAGTCTCGCTCCCTTAACCTTTGAGCTGGTTTTCGTCAGAGTGACAAATGGGTCAAAATATCTGGTCGAGGTTGGGATCTAACTCACAACATTCGTACTAGCACTGCGCCAATTCACCGCTGTCCCTACTGTAGTCCAACAACTGTTTGGTATCACGATTCGAAGGGTGAATGAACGCCTTGGAGTGAGCCAATCCTGGAAGATTCTGCCAAAAGTCCATAAATCTTCTTGCCATCCAGGTGTTCAATGTTTATTTGGCAAAGCCTAAAGCGATTCCTATGATAGGTTCTGGTCCGATGAAGCTGATTGCAGCACCCTCCGTTGCAAGAAAGTCAGCAGCCTTTCAGTATGGCCAGGAATTCAAAAAGATGCAAACTGTTGAGTCTTCTTTGACAAATTGCTACCAATTTAGACGTTGCTCGGTAGGAGCCAAGAGCTTCCAACGCCGCTTGCCTGTCATATATATACACATTGTTACAAACTTTTGAACTCAGCAACTCTTTTATTCCAAAAGTTCATAAGTTACAAATATTTCAGTGATCTATTCATGCTTTTTGGTGGGAACCTGGCCGATACTTTATAAAAATATGTAATGAGATTGCTGGCATAAAGGTTGAACATGAAGGGTTAACATGAAGTGAAGAAGGAGAAACGATTAAAATATTGAAGGAACTTTCCTGTTACTCTTCAAGAAGGAGTAACAGTGGATTTTTCTTCAATATTCTAATATTTTCTTTTTCTGAGATAGAGTTAGGAAATGTGAAAAAATCAAATCGTTGTAGAGAAATAGTAAAAAGTAGATTCTAACTTACAAGCATTATGAAATATACAGCGAAAACAAATACCACCAAACCATACGCCGTCAACGCTAAAACTAATGAGTTAGAACTTGCCATCAACAGTTTGTAAACCCTGTAAAAAATATTAGAATAAAATTGAAACAATGGAGAACCTCAAACTTGAAAATTTAACTACAATCTAGGAAGATCAAGATCTTCAGATGATGTGGTGCTGCAGGTTTTTCCGTGTTTACCTGCAGCTGAAAAAGCAAATGCGCCACTGGAATCAATGAAGTCGCCCCGGAGCGTCAATTAATTTTTCTTGTTTCATAATTTTATGATTTGTATTACTTTCTTCTTTAATATATCACATATAGGACATTACGTTGAAAGTTACCCCTTATGAGCATTAACATGTTTTCATAATTTCATCTGAGATGAAATTAACGTTGATAGTCCACCCCTTCGGCGGAATGCGATACAATTCTCAAGTCTTAAAAGACAGTTGTGCAAACTAAGTTACAAAAATAATTTTGACAACTCTTACACGCAGGCTTTTTGAGTGATCGATTCCCAGTACTTTCTCGACAGAATGTAAACAGGGGGTCAATTTGAAAACTTCTCACCCCTAATATCTTCCTTACATTAAATAATGTGAGGAACCAAAGAGACAGAACAATTTTATTGTCAAGGGGGTCACTTTCGAAGGCTATTTGTAGCCCTCGTCGTTCAACCCCCTAGGGAGGGTAGATGTTACACTTAGAAATTCACATGGGAAGGGAGGTAGGTAGGTTCTAAAGTGAGTGAGTCTATTCGACCCTCCACCGCAACCCATAAGGGTTTATTGTGGCTCACACCTATTCGCACTCGGCCAAATAAAACCAGCTTCTTAATGAAACCGATTAGTTTGTATGGTGAGTGGTCTTTCAGATCAGATGGTGAAAGTACGGAGTTGTCGAACTCAAAGAACCTGATTCAGTTCCCAGCGGGGCAGGCACAAAGTATATGCTCTGCAGTTTCATCATTTTCCAGGCAGAGGGGACACACACTGTCTTCCGACAGTCCAAGTCTCTGCATATGATGATTAAAATGACAGTGACTTGTAAGAAGGTCTGTTAGACATCATCCCTACTGTAGTCCAACAACTGTTTGGAATCAAGCTTCGAAGGGTAAATAAACGCCTTGGAGTGAGCCAATCCTGGAAGATTCTGCCAGTAGTCCATAACTCTTCTTGCCATCCAGGTGTTCAGTGTTTGTTTGGCAAAGCCCAAAGCGATGCCAATGACAGGTTCTGGTCCAATGAAGCCGCTTGCAGCACCCTCCTTTGCAAGAGAGTCAGCAGCTTCATTGCCATCCAGGCCAATATGACCAGGAATCCAGACCAGAGACAATCTGTTAAGTCTTCCTATCGAGGAGAATCTTTTTTGACAGTTTGCTACCAATTTAGACGTTGCTCGGTAGGAGCCAAGAGCTTCCAACGCCGCTTGACTGTCCGAGAATATTTTTATTGACTTGTGAGTGAGGTTGGATTTATCCAATCTCTCCGCACACAATTCAATAGCTTATCATATTAGACAATGCAAGTCCGAACTAATGACCTTCAGACAAGTGAGATTTTTCTACTTGTATCAAAATCATTCGCTAGTTAAGGTTAGGTTAGGTCCAAAGTGAATGGATCTATTCGACTCTCCACCGCAACCCCTAAGGGTTTATTGTGGCTCACACATATTCACACTTGACCAAATAAAGCCAGCTTCTTAACGAAGCCGGTAAGTTTGTATGGTGAGTGGTCTTTCAAGTCAGTACGGCTCTGCCGAACCCTAAAAACCTGATTCGGTCCCCAGCGGGGCAGGCCTAAGTATGTGCGCTGCCGTTTCATCATTTCCCAAACAGAGGTGACACACATTATCTTCCGACAGTCCGACTTTCTGCATATGATGATTCAAATGTCAGTGACCTGTAAGAAGGCCTGTTAGACATCGTAGTTCATCCCTACTGTATCGACAGCCATCTTGAGATCTTCCAGGCTGGAGCCTCGCTCCCTTACCCTTTGAGCTGGTTTTCGTCAGAGTGACAAATAGGTCAAAATATCTGGTCGAGGTTGGGATCGAATTCACAACATTCCAGTCGCGAGTTGGGCGTACTACCACTGCACCAATTCACCGATGTCCCTACTGTAGTCCAACAACTGTTTGGTATCACGATTCGAAGGGTGAATGAACGCCTTGGAGTGAGCCAATCCTGGAAGGCAAAGCCTAAAGCGATTCCTATGATAGGTTCTGGTTCGATGAAGCTGATTGCAGCACCCTCCGTTGCAAGAAAGTCAGCAGCCTTTCAGTATGGCCAGGAATTCAGAAAAGATGCAAACTGTTGAGTCTTCTTTGACAAATTGCTACCAATTTAGACGTTGCTCGGTAGGAGCCAAGAGCTTCCAACGCCGCTTGCCTGTCCGAGAATAGTTTCATTGACTTGTGTATGAGGTTGGAACTTCCAATCTCTCCGCACACAATTCGATAGCGTAAATTTCCGCTTATCTTACAGTCACATAGGATGCAGGTTGATATCTCTGTCCTGGGTCTGAAACTGAAACCACCTGCACCAGAACCAGAAAGTGTTTCTGATCCATCTGTAAACCAACAACTATCTGCTCTTAACATTTCCTTCTTCCGGAGAATCCAGTCCTCTCTACTCGGGAACAGTACTTTATAAGGCAGTTCGTAGTTGACAGTTGGAGGCATAAAGTCAGAGGCAATTTTCAGAATGCTGTGACTTCCAGTGTCAACCAACAGTCTGATGCACTCTGCATTAAATTGATTTGTGCAATTGGCAATGTGTACAAGTCTATATGTAGTCCATCTAGTCTCTCACTTCAGAAAAATGTGTAGAGGATCTTCATGGCCGCTGACGGACATAAATCCAATGTATTTGCTTGGGACCCAAACCCCAAGTTTTATCACAAATCCTTCTACATGTCCATAGGGACAGTCTGGCATTGTGTAAAACTTTTTCCAAGTGAGCGTTCCAGGTGAGTTTTTTATCAAAAACAATGCCAAGATATTCCACCTCCGTTCCAAATGAAATGACCTCACCATTGACGGAAAGTGATGTTGAATAATCCAATTTTCTTTTCCTGCTGAAGGGAATTATCCCAGTTTTGCTGGGGTTGACAGACATCTGCTCACTATGGCACCAACTGTGAACAACGTATATCGTGCTACCTTTCCCGGCGTGGACCTTGTCAAGATGACAGGATTATCTGCATAAGCTTTTAGATCTACTTTCATTCTGTCGAGAGCATCAAGTAGACTATCCTTCAGGAGGGATCACAGAAGGGGAGATAGTACCCCACCTTGAGGGCAGCCTCTGGTGCCCCTGAACCTAATGGCCTTGCCTTGAAGAGTCGTAATTGCAGTTCTGTTTACCAGCATAGTATAGCTCTAGCCAGTTCTGGTCGATTCTATATCTATCCTAGCCAGAGATGATCCTATAGATTTAGGTAGTGTATTGTCAAATACTCCTTCAGTATCGAGAAATACAGCAACCGCAATCTCCTTGTTGTCAAGGGAATGGGAGATTTTTTCTACAAGGTTGTTCAATGCTAAAATAATTCGCTAACTCACATTTTTATTACACATTAGTGGACTCTAACCAAATGTAACTGAGAAAAAATGACCTTGTTTTGTCCACTAAAGAGGATATTTTTTTGACTCACTTTCTGATCTCAACGTGTACTCTGATACAGCACTTCAATTGATCATCTACTTGTTCCTGGCAACGAACATCATCCAATAGATTGTTTGATGATGTGTGTAACTTGCATATGAGGGCGTTCAAAATCTTAAACTGAAACTCCACATGTCGAACGCAATATAAACTGACGCAGATCAATGAAGTAATAAATATGCCTAGAATGAGTAATACAAATATATAACAAGTCAAAAATAGAATGTACATCCTGTTTCCCGTATATTCATTCCACATAAAGACTAAAAACTGCCAGTCCTGCTCATCTCCTAGTAATGGTAAAAAGAGAAGGAAAGAAATCGTTGTTGAGCAAAAAATTGCAAGACACACTCTTCTGAACTCCTTGGCTTCCAACAGCAGCTTACGAAATGTCTTATCTCCTGCTAGTGTCCATGGCCAAGCTTGCATTTGAACAATTTTCGGGGATTTTCGAAGTTGATGAACTGTCGATGCACCCACCAAATACATCACGGTACTCTGCAAAACATCAGCTGAATTATGGTAAGTCTGTCATATGGTAAGTCTGTCAAATTTCGAAATGAATTTCAATTATTCAAAGAAGAAATTTTGACTATCTTTTCAGACAATTTCCTAGACAATAAGAGTTTTTGATAAATACATTTTGAAACTTCTGGTGTGAAATGAAGCTAGTGAAAACACTTTTCCCTTACCAGGACGTAAAATGCTGTCTGCCGACGGCCGTTTCGTTAACCAAGTTAGCATCATCAGGAGACAACTAATTGTTTCAAAAGTTTTGTCCGTTTGTTTTCATGAATCTACTTCTGTTATATCCCAGTGAATACTCATTCAATCCAATCGAAATGAGCATAATTTGAATCAGTGCACTTTTATCAACATAACACAAGTTGATCAATTTAGTTAGCTTAAAAGCTGAGTGTTCGGTGAGAACATAATCATAGTGCAGGATCGGACATTTTCTGTTGACCAGTGCCGGCTTCTGCTAACGCAATTTTTGGTACTGTAACGAATCTGAAGCCGGCCCTGACCGATATCTCAGCCAGCAAACGCATTACATCATCGCGAACCGCCGCGAAAAAAAGAGGCGAGTACAGAGACCTCTAGATAACTCTAGAACGATCGTTACCGGTATATGAACCCTGCTTTCCGTCCATAGGGGGAGTCTGTATTCGAACAGTTAACAAAGAATTCTAACAGTGAAGATAAATTTAGCGTTAATTGCTAAGTGTTGTATATAAATTAGTTGTTATAGTGAAATATCGTTGAAAATAAATTTGTTAATCAGCTCCTGACCACCATATAGTAACCATGATCTTTTTTGGTGGGTTTCCCCTTGGAAACTCATCTGTATCCAATCACCGTCCTGAACCTCTCCTATTATCCAGAAAATAGACCTTGAAACGTGACAATTTCTGACAATAGTTCAAATCGTGGAGCATCCACTTTCCGAGCTTTTTGGCCTCTCCAATACGTTTTAAACCAAGGGTCTTCAACGTACGGCCCGCGGGCCGCATGCGGCCCGCGGCAGCATCCTTGGCGGCCCGGCATTACTTTACTCAAAATGAGGTTCATATGTATAGAAATTATTTTTATGTATTTATTTCTATTATATAATTCAAAAATATATGTTATTTCATTTATTTTATGCATCAGATAGGTTAAATAAAACGCGCGTAGTCCAAAACTAATTTCCGCGCTCGCGCTTGGCAGGTAGGGGCTCACAGTGCGGGTGGAGGAAGTCGCCGAAACGCAGTGGCGCGCGCGGCCGGCAAGCAATGTCAGTCAGGTTTGCACCATTTATCTTGAACACAGAGTTTTTCAAGATAAATGGACGAATTTATATCTTTTCGTCTGTGTCGGGGAAAAACCCATTTGCCTCGTATGTAATGAATCAGTTTCTGTGGTGAAAGAATACAATATCAAGCGTCAGTATGAGTCAAAACATTCTAATAAGTTTGCACATCTTCAAGGACAATTTCGAATTGATAAGGTGGAGACTGAAGAAACAACTTAAAAAACAACAGAATTCTTTTCACAAACAAAATGAAGATAGTGAAGCAAGTGTAAGAGTTAGCTACATAATTTCGGAGAAAATTGCTAAGAAGTCAAAACCATTTACCGACGGTGAATTCATAAAAGAATGTATGGAGGCCGCAGCAGAAGTTTTATGTCCCTCGCAAAAGCAACTTTTTTCCAAAATAAGTCTCTCCGGCGTTACAGTCGCAAGGAGGGTAGAAGAATTGGCTAATGATATCGAACGATCATTAAAGGAACGCGTGTCGCAATTTGTTTACTACTCCATTGCACTCGANGTACCACATACCTGTGCGAGCAGTTATTTTCTCGGATGAAAAACGTTAAGTCGAAGACAAGGAGTAGAATCACCGATATTCACCTTGAAAACAGTTTGAGGATTTCAATGACCACCATAGGGACTGATATTGATAAGCTAGTTAAGAATAAACAATGTCAAACGTCTCATTGATTTCAATTTCAATTACTTTTAGTACTGTAAAATTAAATAATAAATATTATTGTTAGTTTTTATTTCAACATTCTTACTGGAACTGAAAAAAAGCAGATGAAACCGCGGAGCGCAGCTAGTAATAAAAAGTTTTTGTTTTATTGCGGCCCACCGAACAAATATCAAAGTATAGTTGGCCCTTGGCTTCATAAAAGTTGAAGACCCTTGTTTTAAACCATAATTTCGTAACGTGAGGCCCACGCCCCACAGGGGGGCAATCCGATTTTTAAGGGAGGACATTTTGAAAATAGACTTGACACGAGTTCAACCCTTTCGCTCTGGGCCATTTAAATGCAATGCTAGATATCGGTGCCAAATTGAAGGAAAAAAGCAAATTCCTAAATAATTATTAGGTATAATTTCGCTTGACGAGACCAAAATATCAACTGGGTGTTTGGCGTTTAGTGCTGTGAATGATTAACTGGTAGAAAAAAAAACTACTGGATATAACACACATCAAATCAAATCAAAATTTATTCAATTCAGATTAATATAAAATATAAACCATTACAGCTTATTTTACAGAACTATAAATTACATCTATGAAGGATCGTGGCTATCTAAGCCAAACTTGTGTTATAGCCATGAATCCAATACATTTACAAACTAAGATAAACCTACTAATCAGTTCTGGGAAGTCCTAGAAGGACGACCAAAATGATGAGCAGTCTTTTAGCATAATAAGAGCTGCGAGACGGGTATCGCTTGGAGTTTGTATGATATTTGAATTTTTTGTTTTCTTCAAACTAAACTTTAAAAAATGTCATTGAAACCGGAGGAGCTTATTGAACAAGTCAGAAAATATCCAGTTCTATATGATCAGACTGAAGAGCTGTACCGCTGTTCTCTATGAGAGCTCTCTGATTTTCCTCATGTTCTTCTTCCAAACAGAGTGGCTTAATCGCAGTTGCTAAAGTTCTAGAACATTTTGCTTAGAGGACCTTCCTAGATATTGTTTGAATCGACACTGGCGAGAGTGGCAAGTGTATCAAGCCGGAGTGGTAAATCGGAAAGAATAGAGATGAAACATAAAAGTGTTTTGTTTACTCTGTAGTACATTCCCAAACGGTAGCAATAACGTATGTGACTTTCTGGAACTTCAACTAGCGTTTCCTAATGTGACTGATTAACAGTCCGTGCAAAGCTTATTGTTAAATCATCTGAAAATAGAACTTTTTACGGGTGGCGATCAACTGTATTGCCAAATACTATTTGGCTAAATACTAATTATAATTAGTATTGTAGTATTAGTATTGTCTCATAATAATTATTATGAGACAAGTATAGCTGAGGCACCAGTCAATCTGATAATTAATTACACCAGTGATCTTCAAACATGACTCAACCTCTGTCGGAAGCATCAACCTCTTACGAAAGTTCGAAATAGATGAACACTTCAATCTAGCAGACCACTATTATAATCTTCATGCAGTCATTGTTCACTGTAGTTCTGGCGTTGAATCCAATCACCATTACGCATTGGTCAAAGATGAAACGGACTGGTTTAAGTTTGACGATAGTCGTGTTACGAAGTGTTCTGGCGATGTATTGAATTTATTGGAGACAGCCTACATTTTGTTTTATGAGAGAACATTGGCAGATCAAGATCTTTAGATGAGGTGGTGCTGCAGGTTTTTCCGGGTTTTCCTGCAGGTGAAAAAGAAAATGCCCTACTGGAATCAATCAAGTCGCCCCAGAGCGCCAATTAATTTTTGTTGTTGTTTCATAATTTCATAATTTGTATTATATACTCATTGGAAACATAAATCGCGGCACATAATATATCTACAAATGTCATAATACATCAACATAGTTTTGAGAAGTAGCTTTAATCATCTTCTGATGATGCTAACTTGCCTTCGAGATACAGATTCCTTGTTCTAGTGAGAGAGAAGTGTTTTCGACACAATAATAATAATAATAATTAGACATTTATCATTTACCAATATATAAGGTAATACGGAGTGATTTTTAAATACAAAATAATCTAATAAAGGTAAACTAAAGGAGAGCTGTTAGACTCTGCAACCAATTCTTCCACAATCCCCACAAAATAAAGGTGTAACTATTCCATTGTTGCTATAATAATTCTCAAAACATTTAATTTTTTTATGTATGAAGGGTCTTTCCTGATCGCGACGAAAAAATTTGAAGGTTTATTGAAGAGCTACCTAATTTTATGAAAAAAAAAATGTTAAATAAACTGGCTAATTAAGGCCAAGTGAATTTTTCACCACTGAAAATAAGATTGCTCAGTTCCACCAAAATCAGGTAAGAGATTTGTGATGCACTGTTTGGAACCTTTGCGACGAATATTCCAAATGGAAGACCTTGCACAGGTGCCTGATGGTTTGACTTCAGACATCTGTGCGGCATCAGCTGGGTTAATTGTTGTTTTCTCGTCGGACAGATTCAACTAATTGAGTGTATATTGCATATCAGTTACTTTTTATACATATGAAAAGAGTGATATCTGCCTAAAATTTTTCACTCCACCTTTCCACCATACCGTTATTTCAACACCTCGACACTTGTTTCGATCACCAAGTGACCATCTTCAAGAGAAAGATCAAAACTGAGATAAAGAAGTAAGAGATATCCACGATAAGGAAATAAGAATTCCTATCACACCCCTTATAGTGAGTATTACGTGAATTAGTTCTGCAGTGGTTTTATTTAGTTCACTACAGACATCACTAAGATTTTGACAAGACATCGGTATTCAAGAGTTTCCCAAGGAAATTATAATTTTTATATCTAAGGTTTTCATAAAAAAGTATCGATCATTCATGAAAAAATCCGGGATCAGGGTGAATATTGTTGAAAAGAAAATAACGCCGGCCGCCACTGGTAGCCATCAACCAATGGTGACGTAGCTATGAGCGTGCGAATGTACGATGATTCCCCGCCACTCGAGAAGCAGCGAGAAGAATGATACCAACTTCGACAGAACTTCGGCGAAATTTCTACGGCATTCGATTACGATATTCAAAGGCTGGCCACGAGGATATCGAGACAGACAGCCAAGTGGACGTTACAGTGCGGTACGCGAAGTGATTCAGTAAGGCGATAGATATTCAAATGATAGTTGAAGTTTTTGTCAAAGTGTTGTATTTAAAATGAAATAAAGTTAAGTGTGATCATTCAGTGTAGTCAATTATTGATCACCCACGGGTAAAAACATAACAGTATTGATATAATTTAATTTTAAGAAGTGTTGTTTTGATATTTCACCCCAATAAACACTGACCCCTGATCATTTCATCCCACCATTGATATGAATAATGTTTTCAGATGGTATTTAAGTATTTTATGTTCTAAATATTCACCATTTGCAGAAGTATCAGGAAGGGTACATATCCAGAATCCATACTTCCATTATAGAAAATCTCAAAACTACCAAAGGTACAAACAAGTTGTGATAGTAATGATTTCAATAGCAGAAATTTTATAGTGTAATCCGCAGATACCCATTCAAAACAGCATGATCGATATATGGATAGCAGGTAATCATCTGCAAAAAAAATTGATTATTAGTGTCCTGATTTATAAACTACAAAAATGTTAGTTACAATGACAACATTCAAGAAAGCAACATATGCGTGGATAGATATTTTTTCATTAAGCGACTTACATGAATATAGATTTTGATCATGAATGCTCATAACATTCTTTCGATAAAATTTCGGAAACTGCATTTTTTACCGAACCTTGAAAAAAGCAGTTTCTTCTGCAATTTTACGATTCTATTCCAAACTTCAACAAACTAGCTCTAATTTAATTCAATTAATGAGAGGTATATTAAAAAAAGGTACAATTTAATTACTTGTGTTTACGTATCATACTATTCAGTTCCGATTACATTATCATTTATTACTATGATAACTTATCAACCTCACTTTTCAGAAACTGATATTTTGACCTTTCTTTCAATGGGTATAAGCAAAGGTATAAGTAAATAAAAACAACATTTGGAAACGAGTGTTATTCATTTCCATAACTATTAGTTGGTTCGTAGACCAACACACAGATGGCGCTAGTATTTTTAATATGATTTCCAACTAACCCTAACCTTCAAAAAACACGTGTACTAATTTTACAGGTGTCGGACTATTGGTTTGTGGTATAGAATATTTTGAGTGAAGCAATGGTTCAAGTATTTGTTTACGAACCAGACATTGATGTCAATGACTCTGACATTATACCTCCAACTGTCAACTACGAACTGCCCTATAAAGTACTGTTCCCAAGTAGAGAGGACTGGATCCTCCGGGAGAAGGTTCTGGTTCTGGTGCAGGTGTTTTCAGTCGCAGTCTCATGACAGAGATATTAATCTGCCTAGGAACCTATGCGACTCTATTTCAAACGGAAATTCATGCTATTGGAGGTTGGAAGAATCCAACCTCATACCCAAATCAATAAAAATAGTATCGGACAGTCAAGCGGCGTTGGAAGCTCTTAGTTTCTACCGAGTAACGTCTACATTGGTAGCAAACTGCCAAAAACGACTCTCCTCGATGGGAATACTTAACAGATTGTATCTGGTCTGGATTCCTGGCCATACTGGCCTGGAAGACAATGAGACTGCTGACTCCAATGCAAAGGAGGGTGCTGCAAGCAGCATCACCAGAATCTGTCATTGGCATCGCTTCAGGCTTTGTCAAACAAACATTGAACACCTGGATGGCAAGAAGATTTGAAGACTTCTGGCAGAATTTTCCAGGATTGGCTCACTCCAAGGCGTTTATTCACTCTTCGAAGCTTGATACCAAATAGTTCTTAGACTACAGTAGGGATGAACTACGTTGTCTAACAGGCCTTCATCTCATCTGAATCATCATATGCAGTGACACGTACTCTCGGAAGACAGTGTGTGTCTCCTCTGTTTGGAAAATGATGAAACAGTAGAGCATATACTTTGTGCCTGCCACAACCACTCACCATACAAACTAATCGGCTTCGTTGAGAAGCTGGGTTTATTTGGTTGGGTGTGAATAGGTGTGAGCCACAATAAACCTTTGCGGGTTTAGGATTTTTAGACCAGAAATTAAATTTTCAAAAAAATAACTTTTTTGCCTCTAATCAATTCTTATATCGTAATATTATAGCGATATTGGTTGTATATTTTACTTAAGGTAAAATTCTCAAAGTATCTTCAAACAGTATTCTCGTAGGTAGTTACTTTTATTTGAATTGTTATGAGTTTTTCATTTGTATTTATTGAATGAAAAATAAAACACCAGTTGATGGTATCACTGTCAGTGTATAAAGAGAGAATTAGAGAATTCCAGAGAAAAGAAGAAAATATCGAAGTGAGGTATATCAGGGAAAATGCAAAAATCTCAAAGCATTGGTTTGTATCAACAAATTTTTCAAAAAAATTAAAAGAAAATTATTGCGAACTATAGAAAAAGAGTGTTTTATGCACAAATTTTTAATGATATCAAGAACAAAACCACTGTTTTTTTTTATACAAGCTGATCTCAAAACCCAAGTTTATATAGAACAATCATATTAAGTTTTCATAGCCTCATAAAAAATATTCGCCTCAGATATCAGAATAAAAGCAAAAGCAAATATTTACCTCCCAATCCTACTTGAATGTTTTGATAGGTTTTCATGTTATATTCGCAGGCAATTCAAAACTGTATGAATCCAAATCCAATATTTTAAATTGAATTCACTTATCCGAAATCATAATCAATTCAGTAATAATCAAACAGTCATCAAAATCATATTATTCAGTAATTATTTGTGAATTACTTCAGTCAATATCTGGAAATGTCCTCACAAATGATTAAACTTCTTTCAAATTAGAACAAAGAATGAAGATCTGTGATAGGTATGAAGTTGACTTTTCTTTCTTTTCAATATTAAAATAGAAATGCTTAAGAAAACGAAATAGGTATATTGAAATAATATCGACTGAATAACTCTTCAAAAAATCTTCCACAGACGGTTTTTTCATGGCAGAAGCCATGAATTGTTTTTCCACAATTTATCATTATCAAATATAAAAAGTAACTAGTGGAAATTAGACAATTGTTTTTATTCATTTCATTAAAGTGAACATGAATTACCACAAAATAAACAAGTCATCAATCACACATAATCCATCTCTCTCTATACCACAAGGAATCAGAGAGCGATGTGAGTATAAAATGTGAGTAATAAAATGAGTAATAATAGTAATGAAATAATAATGAGTAATAAAAAAAATGTCTTATTATTGCTCTGAGGTGAGTATCAACAGAAATGGGTAGCTAGCAGTCGCTAACAACCATCAGTCGGGCGGATCATGTTAATCGGGATGTACACCAAAATTAAATTAAATTAAAAAACCGACTGGTTTGTCAGCGACTGCTACCCAGTCCTTGTCTAAGGATTTAGACCTTAGACAATGACCCAGTTCTGCTGGTTATCACATTAAATAAACACTGACATTGTACTGTCGTCGCTCTCTGGTGGTCAGGTAAGTACTAAAAATTTCAGGTGACACAAAAATGTCACTTCTGAGCTTCTATGGGCCTTGTATTCTTTGACGGCGACGAGAAGCCTATATGTTCGGAGTACAAAGATAGAAGAAAATGCAAGAAAAAAATCTGTCAGTTCATGAATTTCTCTGAATTCAAGTGATACATTTGAGAAGTTTTGCTCCAGAAAAAAGTAACACTTTATAGTTATAAGCACCACTCATTTTGAGTATTGGCGCCACACAACAATNACTGTGAGTAAAACTGTATTCATAAACTATTAATAACTAATAAAGGAATGATCTAGTCCTAATCGGATCAACATACAGATCAACTGATTGTGGTGCGCAGAAAATGTCACTCGGCTGTTCGCCGCAGTGTCGCCAAACTCACTCAGTGAAGCCAGCCAATGCAGCATCCAACGGTTTTTTGCTAGAAAAATCAAATCAAATTTGACAACTGACAAGCAACTTTAAACCGCATAAATGGCGATTGGTGTTAAGTGCGAGTCAAAAAGATAAAAAAAGTTTCATCGATTTATTGTAAAGTTCATTTTAATAGAGAGCATTATAGTTAATTACATTGTGATCAAAAATGTTTAAATCAAAATTAGAAGTAGACAGACACGTAGATAATTGTTTGAAGAAAATAAACAACGAGACTGAGGTAAGCATTTTTTTGAGAACCCATGCAGACTTATTGCTATAAATTTTTTTTTGAATTATCATTTTTCAAACTCTGTAATGTCAATTTTTGTAAAATATAAGTTTAAGGCCATGAATGATTTACTCTCACTTGTGGGTTATGACTAATTTGATGAAAAGCAGTGCTCTCAACAGATAACCCAAGGTAGATTTGATAACACTTACTGAGCGTTTCTGCTGTTACTTTTGTAATAGATGTGTTATTTTTTGTTCGTTTTTCTAAAGACACTATTGACTTGGAACATCGAAACGATTTAACAGAGCTTCTGACTTGGAAGTTCTTATCTATCTTTCTGTCTCAATAAGAGCCATAAGTCAGGTTATTCGGGGTAGATAGATAGATACATGTTTCCTACAAGTATTAATATAGTCATGAAATAGGATGATAGTCCGTTTAAAGGACAAATAACATTAAAATTCGAAACTTTACTTTCTCGAATGATTTACGATGCTCATCATCAACTGGCTTCCATAAACTTCTATCTCACAAGTAATGGTCACATTTCATTACCAATATTGTTTCAAAAATTACATTGTGAACAATATTTGTATATCTGTAAAGAATAAAAGAAAAGCATAGTGTCGTCTCAGTTGTAACATGATCAAATAAAAAGGGTTTTTAATTTGAATTCAAAAAGTACAAAAATCGTTCAATTTTACCGAAATACCAATGAATGTGATACAATAGCCTGTGAACTCTCAATATTTATCATAAACCAGCATTTTTGTCTGGAAAACTTGAGAATGATATATTTCAAAGCTATGCCCTATACAAACATAGACTTCAAAAGATATAAACAGATCGTCAGTATACAGCACCAGAATGATAAGGGAGACAGTCGAAATTGAGAAGATCGGCATTTTATATTTTTCATTTCTCGAGGAAACAATTGCTGATAATAATTCTGTTGTTGATTACATTACTGATAATGACAGAATATGCTCTTACCGAATTTTGTTTCTATGTAGGTATCTTATCCTAAACCTTTCTTTTGAGTTCACACTTTTTTTTCTAGAGAAATTTAAGATGTTTCTCCTTTGCAAAACTTTACTTCAACGTTGGAGACTATGAACAGGCAAGAAGATATGTGTCTTCTTATTTGAGTGTGAAACCACGATCTGCAGAAGGCTATCACTTGTTAGGAAAATGTTTGGAAAAACTGGAGAAGAAAGAGGCTGCCTTAGAGGCCTACCGGAATAGTTTACAGATAGACTCTAAACAAAATAATTTGGTCATCAAAGGTAAGTATTTTATTTTCCAAAATTATAAGTGAATTATGCCAATGAAAAACAATTGAAAAGTTTCATTTCGCCTTAATTTAAATAGAAACTATCAATTAATACAAACTTTTTCCTTCTCATCTCAAAGTGAATAATAATTTTGAAACTTAATGTGTTCTTTTACAAAATCATTCAGACCATCATTGAGATGGTAAAGAATCAAGTAGAATAACCATGTGCATTCTACTTTATTCTAAATCATTTCACAAGAAAAGTATCCTGTGAATTTTTTCTTACCATTAATTGTGTATAGTTTAATCTTACGTCATTTCCTCCTTTCAGTTTGTGAGTTGCTTTCATCCGACGACGTCGATATGGACCAGTCAGGTGCAAGATATTTTTGCGATTTAGCCCAAACATTCGACCCCAACAATCCAGCAGTGTACAGTTTGAAGGAGCGACTCATAACTAAGGACAGTGACAACCCCGTAGAAGTTTCGCAGCTTCTGTTGAAAGAACTAGAAAGTAGACCTACAGATATCAACTTGCGAGTCCGCCTACTGAAACATTTTCTACAAAACAACATGATAAAAGAAGCTTACAAACATGCTTCTGCCATCGAAGAGAAAAACCTCTCAATTTTCCACTATAACTTGAGTTGGTATGAAACCTTTGCCGAAGTACTGCTCAGGTTCCAAAGAGATTTGGCATTCAGCTCTCAGTTAACTTGGGAGTTTTGGTTTCTTTATGTGTCAGTATTGGATCGACTGGCTGCCTTAAGTTTGGATGACTATTCAGACAACGTGAAAACTTGTTCAGAGTACATAGCGACTGTGTTCAACTTTGATCAAATGCTCTGGAATGCTTCTAAGAACATAAGCAGTTGCTCTGATCGTCAATTGGTATCGACATTTCTCGATCACTACCACGCTCAATTGTACTTCCACATTGCAACTCTCGTTTTCAAACAGGCAAAGAAAGACCTGATCCATTTCAAAGAAGCATCTAATATAACCCTTCCTGTACTTTTTGCTGCTTATCACGTTCAACCGCCTGATTTACAGAGTATGTGGCTAACACATTCCTCGGAAAAAACAAGAAAGTTAGTCCAGCACTGGCATAAGGCAGCATCCTTTCGCTGTTCCCAAACTGGTCATATTCTGCTAGCCTCCTCCAGAGACAGAAAATCCATAGTCATTGATAAAGCCAACCAATATTCCACCGGTATGTGGCGTGAACAGCTGTTCAAAAAAGTTTTCGTCAAAAGGGATCAGCAACTCAAGATGCCTTCGAGTTTTTTCGCTTCGAACACTCAGCCTCTGGATGTCCTCATCAAACTACCAGACTCTTCAGATTTGCTCAAGCACGATGAAGTGGCACAACTGATGTATCCGGACTCCTTACATCACTACATTTGGACATCTTTAAATAGTAAGCTTTCAGGCGTTGAGCTGAAATCTTTTGAAGGCTTACAACTCTCTGTTAAAAATTTATCAAACTGTGCTGCTGAAGCTTTGAGCTTGTTGGATGTCCAGGCTTTTATCTATTGCGCCACGCTCTGTGTCAGGTCCAAGCTGAACGAAAATAAGCAGTTGATTTTCTATAACCAAGACAGACCATCCGTTTTACCTGCCTCGATCACCGAAAATTTGGGCACCCTTGATCAGTCCAAGTTCCTAAAGGCAGCCTACAAGATGTACAAAAACGAGCCAGGCTCTAATATGAGCGATTTGAGGCTGCTCCTCATCCGAGGTATCGAAGTTATAAGGTGTGTCGGCCATCATGGTTTGGATGTAAAGCTTTTGGTAATGCTGGCCCAGGTTTTCGAGGAGCGTTTGAAAAATCTCACCAAACAATCTGAAATCGAGTTCAATAGCGCGAGAGCGGATCTGTACTGGAAGACAGCCTTGCCTATGTTGGAAAAAATAAAGAACAATCAGGCCATTACCTATTCCAGCAGTAGGCTCTTCGAGTATAGATCCAAAGAGATGTCCATTGCCGAGGCGAGTGCTTTTATCGAGAAAGGAAAACTTTTCACTGCCACGCAGTTGATGAAGAAGAAGGTGAGTGTGTCATTAGACTAGGTATTCCTCAGAGGTTACTTTTGGGCCTTCATTGATGTTTATTCATAGGTATATTGCATGAGAAAGTGTGAGGGTGTTACAAAATCAGTTGATCAAGTTTAATTTCATAAATATCAAATGTATTCATATAAAATAAAATTCAAATAACCAAGAAGTAAAACAGCTTGTAGTGGGATATTCAAATATTTATATACATATTGTGCAAAAAAAATACATTGTGGCTGGTAAAATACGAATTATAAGGATTTTTTCAGATATATAGATAGATAGATAGATGTTTATTGAAATAGGATATCCTAATATACAAATAAGATAGAAAGTATAAAGTAAAAAAGGTAAATGATATATATAGAAATGACTTGAAATGACAACGAAACATTTCTAAGAACATTTTTACAAAAATAGCAACATTATACATTCAACAAAATCAAAATAATATGTAGATAGATAAATTATATAATTATTACAGTATGAATATTTATTTTGGTAATGATAAAATAGTGGAATCTTATGATTGAAAATGATTAATGGAAAATGAAGTATAATTATACTCATACAGTTGGAGTTTCTATGACTATTACAGTAGGTAAGATAGAAAGGTATGTGGTACATATTGTAATGATTTAAAATATATGACAAACATTAGATGAATACATTATAAAGTTGATCAGTAAGATAAGCATGATAACTTCTCAAGACATAAAATTAAAGCAAAAGGTAACAAACACATAATACATATGATAGTACATTGAAAACAAATTTCTTCAGTTCGTTTTTGAACATGTTCAAAGATGGGCTATTTTTAATTACATTTGGTAATTTGTTGAACCAATCAAAACCCTTGAAAAACAAAGAATCCTTGTGTTTTTGTTTTTTATTCTGTTTGTATATAAATTATTATTATTTGGAGTCAAGTGGTGGTGAATATTATGATGAAAGGCAATGTACTGTTCAGAATAAGATGGTCTTAAATTGTTCAATATTTTGTATATTAATATTCCATATTTTATAAAAAGAGGTTTACAGTGATCCATGGACTTACTTTTCCAAATGTACCAAACTGCTGTTTTCTGAGATACAAATAATAAATTCATCAGCTGATTTTTCCTCCAGAACCCTCTAAAAGCAATATCGTATTGTAGGTGAAATTCAATAAGTGAGAAGTACGCCATTCTGCCTGAGTTGATGCCCAGTTCCCTAGTTATCGTGTAGCTACCTGTGTAGCAGCCTGATGTCAGTTTTTCATTCAAGTTTCTTATGTGTTCCTCAAACTTCAGCTCATCATCTATCACTGAGATTTTGTGTATTCAGATCAAATTCAGCTTTTGAAAATCGTTATCTCTTCATAAAATAAAGTAGCACGTGTTAATTGCCTTGGTCTTTCAATTCCTTTTTTTTATATTCACCATATGCATTCACTGAAATGAGTTGTAATTAAAAGTTGATGTTTTTATTAAAGGAGTACGAAAAAGCTCTGCAAATTTTCGAAAACCTCAAAGATCCCTACGCCAGCTTCTACCAGTCGCAAATTTATAAACACATGGCGGACCAAAAGACCAATCAAAATAAGGAGAATGTCACATCGGAGATGAGGAGTCAAAACATCATTCTGCTGTCGAGAGCCAGGGATTGCCTGTATCTCACGTTGGACAGGCTCAGAGAACCGTCAGTTGACAAAAACCATCCTTTGAACGTCCAGCTCGGCAATGAAATCGAAAAGATTGAGAGGCTACTTTCACGTATCGATCCTGACTGCGCGAACCGTAACGAATGTGACGGCATGTCAGAAGAAAACAACTCGTCAGATAACAGCATCGGAGAGCAGTACCTGTCCACGTACACGAATCACAACAGCTTCCAGAACGGTCACACGTACACGTCCAAGCTGGAATCGCATCATCATTCGACCCCAATGCGTTTGGGAATCTCCCGCCAGGAGGCGCGCCCGAGTCCCGAAAGATTGGACGCCCAAATTAGACAGATGGTCGCCTCGAGAGACGCGGCCCTGAACGGCATCCTAGAACAGAACAAGATAATAGCGGAATCGCACAAAGGGATGCTGGATGAATTGCGAAGCTTCAAGGAGGCCGTCAATAACCTCACTTCTATGGTAGATGATTTGAAGACGATGAAGAGAGGGTTCGAAGAGTTGAAGGACATCAAGAAATCTGTCGACGAGCTCAAACATTCCGTTGATGATTTGCAAAATGTAGTAGATGTTGTGCAGGTAAGGGTTGCCATAATTAATAAAGTTATTAACATTTTACAGTAAATTAACTACAAGTGTCGAATTTGTTTACTGCGGTCTTAATGTTTTCATGGCTGAAGTCTTGTTTTACTTAGCTTTGCATTTTGATATTAGATGTTGGAAATGAAGCTGATGAAAAAAAAACTGAACAATAGTCATATTGCAACCTAAATTGGAGTTGAATACATATTGTTGAAATTTTTGGTGTTTTCTTTTTGAAAGGAAAATAACTGCCAGAATATATTTTTTCCATGTTCAAAGAAAAATACAAAAAAATGGTAATAATATTTGTCATTTGTTGGAATTAAAGCTAATAAAACAAAATAACTGAATAATATAAACTTATATTGTCACCTGAATTGACGACAATCAAATTTTGTATAAGTGATAGTGTAGGTGTGGGAAAATAAATCAGCTATATATGTTAAAGTGATAGTAATTTGATTTTCATTCTTTTCGTGGATAAGACACACTGTTTCCAAAATTAAAAGACCTATCAGGAAATAAAGGACGGCATGAATCCCTATAACTAGCTTTGCATAAATATTCTACATGTAGTTTTCACCTATGCGGTAAAGGTTGGTTTATTTTCATTTGTTGACATAGTTACTCGATTTTTTTCAAGGAAATGAAAAAGGAAATCACCGAATTGAAGAAAGATAACACCAAGAACAATCAGCTCAACGATGAGGATTTGTTTGCTCTCGATCCTGAATACGGTGTCGATTTCAACTTAGGCTCCAATGTTGGTGCATTTGGGTCGTCTGTACCAAACGTCTACCCCAACTACCCAGGCGCAAGATTACCTAATCCTAATCCATTGGCAGCATATGCACCTACCGCTCTTTATCCTTCGCTATACCCCGGATTAGCTTACGCTTATGGAGGTCTAGGTTTACCACAGCCTGGAACATTGCCGTTTGTGTCAGATCAGCAGCAGATGTCACAGATTCCTGGTATGGCCACACCCGGTGCCGTTGGTTATCCTCAGATTTTGGGTCAGTCTCCTTTGAATCCCACATTGACAAGTAGTACCGGATTAGGATTAAATATGGTAACAGGTCAACCACTTTCCCAAGGACACCAACAACATGCAGCTAGCCAACTAATCAAGGACATTTCCAGAGCTACTTCCAGCATCCCTACTCCCAGTATAAGTCAGAATAGCTTCACTACTATATCATCTTCGTCATCTATGACTGCAACAAGTAGAGCCCCTCCGGTAAATGTGGTCATAACTTCGTCAGATCCTCTCCCTTTAATCAAAACGCCTACCTCTCAGCCAGTTTTGTCTGTAACCATTCCTCCTCAACATATCAAAGGCAATACTGCCAAACCTCCACCTCAGATCTCACAGGCTTCCAGTATATCTTTACCCTCAATGCTGTCTAGTGCCCCATCTGTGCCGACCTCGTTCAGCTCTTCTTCTCTGTTTTCTGGCCTCCCTCAAAACAAAACCCCTGCGAAGAATGTCGGCCTAGGATTTCAAATTGGAAAATCTCCACAAGAAACTTTCAGTTCACCTAAAGTTGAGGACACTTCGAATTACAGCAATGTTTCCTCTACTTCCTTAGACGAACACGATCCTTGTCCAGACTTCAAACCCATTATACCCTTACCAGACGAGGTCCCTGTCAATACAGGAGAAGAAAATGAGACGGAACTGTTTTGCCAGCGCGCCAAGTTGTTCAGGCACTTTGTCAACAAGGATACCAAAGAATGGAAGGAGAGAGGTGTCGGCAATTTGAAAATTCTCCATAATAAAGAAAGTGGAAAGATCAGAATTCTCATGAGGAGGGACCAGATCCACAAAATCTGCGCGAATCACTTTATAACAAAGGAAATGACATTGACGCCAATGGCTAATAACGAGAGGGCTTACGTTTGGGCGGCCCAAGACTTTGCTGACGAGGAGGTTGTAACCGAGACATTCTGTGTCAGATTCAAAACTGCAGAGGAAGGGAAAAAGTTTCTCGAGGCTTTCGAGTCCGCTAAAAAACTTCTGGATAAGGCTCCGGGTACCGGAAAAGAAATTGCAGGAAAAGCTGATCAGAAAGCAGATGACAAAACCAAAGAGAGTTTGAAAACGTCAGATAAACAGAAAGATAATTTGATAGCAACTGAGAAGCCAAGGGAAGATACACCAAAAGCCCAAGTCGTGAAATCCGCCACAAGCCAATCGGGGGCTATTCTTGGTGGATTCGTATTTACTAGCACACCAACGTTCAAGACAACTGAAACTACAACACCAAAAACAGCAGAGGTCCCGGAAAAGAGTAAGACCAGTCCATTTGCTGCATTTACTTTTGGAAAAAGCAACACTCAGACAAGTACTTTGTTCCAAAGTCCTTTGAAAACTAGTGGAGCCCCAGTTTTTTCACCGCTTGTCATCTCCCAGGAGAAACAAGTATCGGAAAATGTCACAGAAGACGATTCTCATGCTGAAGATTTTGTTCCGACGGCAGAATTCAAACCTGTAGTCGCACTACCAGACTTGGTTGAAGTGAAAACTGGCGAAGAAAACTCTGAGATACTATTCGAATCCAGGGCAAAACTTTTCCGATACGATACTAGTGGAGAGACTAAGGAATGGAAGGAGAGGGGACTTGGAGTTATAAAGGTGCTCAAAGATGACGATTCTATCCGTTTGCTAATGCGACGAGATCAAGTTCACAAAGTTTGCTGTAATCACAAAATACTGAAAAATATGGTATTCAAGGTTAACCCCAGTAACTCCAAGGCCATCGTTTGGCATGCTAAAGATTTTTCTGAAGGTGTTTTGACGCCTGAGACTTTTACAGTTAGATTCAAGACTGAAGAGCTAGCAAACCAATTCCTGCAAACAGTACAGACTGCTCAGACATCTCTGGATGAGAACAACAAGGTTAGTGGCAAGCACCACAAACCGGAAACGAGGCCGAGGACCACCAGCTTCGGCGATAAATTCAAACCAGCCAAAGGTAGTTGGGAATGTAAAAATTGTTACATCGTAAATGAAGGAAAGGATAGTCATTGTGTAGCATGTGAAACTCCTAAAAGTGGAACTGCAGCGAAGAAGGTAGAAGAATCAGGTCCAGTGTTTTCTTTCGGAGTTGGAGCTAAGACTCAGGAATCTAAACCGACTGCCGGGTTCCTATTCGGGCAGAAACCAGCAACGAATAGCTGGGGAAATGATTTCAAGCCAGCGGAGGGTAGTTGGGAGTGCAAGACTTGCTATATCAGAAATCCGGCCGACAAAACAAAATGCGCCTCCTGTGATTCTTCCAAAGACGGAAGTACAGACGCATCTGACAAGTCGACCATGAAAGGGGTTAACTTGGATACCCAGGGTCTCAAATTCAATTTTGGTCTGCCGACTAAACCCGAAGAGATAAAGCCAGCTGTTGGTGGTTTCGGAGATGCTTTCAAACCGAAAGCAGGTTCATGGGAATGCAAACAATGTATGGTTAGAAATAATCCTGATGTGAAGTACTGCTCAGCATGTGATGGTCCCAAGGATGATACTGTTCCTAAGAAGGAGACTAAAAAGGGTGAGTCAATGATGTGTGAGGTATTTATTTACTAATTTGAAATAGACGCTGACAGTATGATTTTTTACCTCGTTAACACAGCATATTGTATGGAACTAGATGGAGGTCATTTTAAACACTTCATCTGTTGATTGTGTTGCCATTGATATTACCTTTGTTGATTTCCTCATTAAAATGAGCGGCAGCGAATTTCGGGTTTTTTTTTTAATGAAACATTCAACATTTAATTTCTCGATAACGAATTAACAGATTTCGAAAAAAAATTGCAGAATTAATAGAGGGACAAAAGACCTTTCAAATGATGTATCACTCGACCCCCAATGCTATTGAAAAAATATAGGGAGTAGTTACTGACCGCAGGAGGGTGAAGTTTCGGGTATGATTAGTCCCCAAGAAATAAAAATTTACGTGTTCTTTAAAAATTTTGATTATGCGTCTGTTTCTTACAGGGGGGTCAATTTTTCATTGGAACAGCCTGTACTGTATGCATACACCAAAGATATTTAATTCAATGTATTGGTGATAATTGAATTTTATGCAACTTCAATTGAATATAAAACGTAAAGTTACTCTGTTGTAGATTTTGATGACCGTTCTAGTTTAATCAATTTTCATAAGCAAAAATACCAATCTCCTTTTTTTTTTCTATCGTAGGTATTGATTTAAGCACCCCTGGTCAGAAGTTTGTTTTTGGAATGCCCAGCGTTTCCACGCCTCAAGTTACTTTTGGATCAAGTCTCCCTCAGACTGAGAAATCCTCAGCTCCTCAAACAACTATGACTACCACCACCACTACTACAGCTCAAGTAACATTCGGCTCAAGCACCATATTCGGTTCGAACTCTACCAGCATATTCAAACCGCCTACAAGTAACACATTCACCTTCAAGCCAGCCACTGCTCCTCAACTAGAGACAAAATCGTCGGAAGATAAATCAAAGTTCGTCTTCGGTTCTCCGCAAAAGCACGATTTTGAGTTCAAACCACGATCCCCCAGAAGAGTCAGTGCTGGTCAAGGAGACGAAGAATCAGACAGTAGCTATGTCGATGAAGAAGAAGACAATATCTATTTCAAACCTGTCATTCCTCTACCCGATAAGGTGGAGGTGAAAACTGGAGAGGAAGAAGAGGAGGTCTTGTACTGTCACAGAGCCAAGCTGTTTAGATTTGTTTCAGGTGAATGGAAGGAGAGGGGCCTGGGTGATATCAAGATACTGAAGAGGAAAGATAGTGGAAAGTTGAGGTAAGATTTTTTTGGAACATATAACACATGATGATGCCGATGCTCATTTAGTGTATTTCTACCCTTTATTAAAAAATAGAGGACAGAGATACACTGAATATGTACTAGTTTTACCAATGGGAAAGCTATATAGTAACTATTAACAAACATGGTGGAACATACAAATCTGAGAATGCGGCAGTGAAAGTGGGAGTACCCCAAGGAAGCATTGCGGGTCCCTTGTTATTTATTATCTACATAAACGATTTATGTTATCATTCAAATACACATAATGAAATTACATTCTTTACTGATGACACTAATTTATTATTAGGCCGTGAAACATACCCTGAAGTAGTAAAAACAGGTATGGAAATGTTTAATGATACAAAAGAATGGTTCAATAGGAATAGGTTAATTTTGGATTAATCTTATACTTTTTAGAACTAATCAATTACAGATAGAACGACCTCAAAATTTGAATATTGAAAACATTACTATAAAATATTCAGAATACACCAAATTTCTAGGACTTCATATTGATTAATTCTTGAAATGGAACAGATTGATTATACAGCTAACAAATTGAGCAAAATTTTGTATGGACTAAGGGTGGTTCACAAATATGTCAACAAAGAATCAGTAAAAATTTTATATTTTTCCAATTTTGAGTCTGTAGCTAGATGTGGAATCATATTTTGGGGAAGCAATATTAATATAAATAAAATATTTGTAATTCAGAAAAGAGCAATCAGAATGATGAGTAATTTGAAGTATAATCAATTGTGTAGAAATGTCTTCAAGAATAACGGGATAATGACGATATATGCTCTTTATATTTATGAATGCTTAATGTTTGTATTAAAAAATAGGCATCTGTTCTTTAACAATATTAAACAACATTCCTATGGAACAAGAAGAAATGATTTCGTGCTCCCTACAAATAGGTGAACCTATGGAGCTGTACAATAAATTGTCTAATCAAATCAAAGATTTGAGGAGCATAAAGAAATCTAAGTGTTAATGTAAATATAGTGTTAGTGACTATTTAGACCAAACCGAATTATAGAAATGTATGTTGTCTGTGTACAAGCTGTAATAGTCGACATATTTTTGAAATAAAGATTATTATTATTATATAGGAATGTTTTCTTCATGACGATAAAGTATATTTGTCTCTCTCTCTCTCTCACAGAGTCGTCATGCGCCGAGAGCAAGTACTGAAAATATGCCTCAACCACATACTGACCAAAGACATAGAATACTTGCGAAAAGACGAAAAATCGTGGTTGTTCCACGCCGCCGATTTCTCAGAAGGAGAGATAGTCCACGAGCAATTCTGTGTCAGATTCAAGAATCCAGAGATCGCTCAAGAATTCAAAAAGGCGGTCAGCGATGCCCTGGAAGGGGCAGCTGGCGGCGACCAAGGTAAAGATGTGATTGATAACGTTGATTTTGTGCTAACCATGAATAAAACGGGTGATATTTGTTCAAATTTGCGGTTATTTATGTACTTAGGTATGTCTGTGGTAGCTCTGAGCGTGTGTTTTGCGTGTGTGAAGAAACGCTGCTAATGAATTCTTTCAGTTGTATAATGAAATAACTGTTTGGGAACCACATGGCCAATCTTTGTGAGAGCACACAGTGCAAATTAATTCTTTGATCATTGTATAATTTGGTTTTTTAACACTACAAATATTATGTTCTGTATATCTTACGTTGAGGAATTCAATATAAATTAATATATAGAATGTAATTTGACAAAAAAAAAACAAAATTTTTTAAATTATGAATTTACATACATTTTGATGGATTGAGCTTAGTGAAAATGTAAACTCAAAAAACTTGATTTTTAAATTGAAATTTTAGGATTCATGTGGAATGGTAATATTTTTTGTTTGGTAACATAACTTTTTTTCTTGTTGAAGTACGTTTCAGTATTCTACTTGCCCATTGTCATTGAGGTTTTTCTTAGTTTATGTTTTTTTTTCCATTTGATTAGTTTCCTTCTAATCAATATGTTTATTTTGTTGCATTCTGTGTTGAATATTATTTATTCTTAGGGAAATCCTCTGTTCTTTTTTTGTAAATATATTTTTGAAATCTTTTTTTTCGTTTTGTTCTGTTCATCCTCCCAGTATAAATAAATTTGTTAAAGGAATTGTTCCTTTTGATTTTATTTATCTAAATGTAACTCCAATATATCTATATTTCCGTCCTCATTTTCTAGACTTTCCTCTAAACCTTTTGAAATTTGCATTGCTGTTTCATAGTCTTTCAACATGCTAAACCACTCGAAGAATTTATTATGACATCTATGGAAAATAAATTCCAACTTTATTCACTAACAAACACTTCTGAATTCACGTTACTAAAAGTCAAGTTGAATATGTTTGACAGAGATATTATCTGTTGAAGTTGCAAACTTGGTTAGCGAAAAGTGCATCAAACATAATGTGTGTGAGTGTGTCGTGTGTGTGACGTATGTGGCGTGTGTGTGATGTGGTTTGTGTGTGTGGGGAGGGGGCGTGTATGTGTGGCGTGATATGTGTGGTGTGGTATGTGTGGTATTAGTGTGGTGTGGTATGTTTGGGGTGTGTGTGTGGGGTGCGTGTGTGTGTGGTGCACGTGTTTGTGTGTGTGACTTGTGTGAGGTGTGTTTGTGTATGTGTGGTACGCACGTGTGTGTATGAACATTAATATTTCAAATATCATGGATAACTTTTAAATATATTTTGTAAACAATTTCCATAAATTTGAACAAATATTTTTGAGAAAGAAAGAAATGAATACATTTATCCAAGTTGATCAATGGCGCGTTTCTTATTGAGATTTTTATCTTCACTATTGGCCTAATCCATTTTTCAAAAAAGTCTTTCAGTGGAATTATGACGTTTCCGTCACAAAATGACAAATTTTAGTGAAACTCTGTACGTAAAATATATTCAGAAGTCACGTATAAAATTCGAAATATTCATGTCTATTTCTGGGAGAAAAACCTTTCTGTAATGCAAAGAGTAGGACATATTCATATATATTTATTTCACAACTCAATTTATATGTTACTTCATACCATTTTAGGTTTTTTGATTTTGTTGAGTGTTGGAAGATTGGCAGAGTAAAAACAAGTATTTCCAATTGTCTCAATTCTTCTCACCAATCTCACCCATAACAATTCATACTTCCCAATAGATATATTCTTTTCACTGTATCAGCGGGATTAAAGATTCCGTCATCACTTTAGTTAGAGACTGAATTTAATTGTGAGTTAAGATTAAAAATTTGTAAAGTCAGATAAGTTGCTTCTGCTTGAATTTCAAATCATTTGTCATGACCTTTTTGTTAAAATAAAAGAGAAACATAAATTCACTTTTTCAATTTCATTATATACTTTTGTAAGATACTGATATTTTTTTCTTGTACTCACTATTCAGAATGTTGTCCATCTTATTTATTTATTTAACGGGTAGTCCCAATTACCATTTATTATAAAAAAATAATTTGTAAAATCTCTCGTTCTATTTTGTCTGAAAAACATTATTCATTCATTATTCACACTCACTTGAAATTCAGTTTTTTCCTTTGTTTTTTCTTTCAATTATTCTATTAATTTATTACTATTATGATATGTATATAATTCCTATATTCGACACTTTTACCCCAAAATTGTATACTGTGTCCTGCAAGTACTAAAATAACTCCTTATTATAGAACTTGCAAATTTTGTCTTAATTTTTAGCTCAACTAGAGATCTTGTATCTACTCTTTCTTTTATTACAGTTCAAAAACCTACCGTAGTCGAGCAAGACAGTGACGATGATTTAGAAGTTGTATTCGAAACTCAAGTAACACCTGAAGAAGAAAAAGAAGCACTGAAACTGGGACTACCGCCAAAATTCTTTTCCTATAAGCAACTCCCTGACTGCACTTGCGAACAGTGCAAAAAAGATGATGAATATTTGAGTGAATTATTCACAGATAAGAAGAAGACTTTTTCTTTTGCCACTGCTGGCGTCATCAAGTCTAGCCCGATAAATTTTGGAACTCCTAAAATGAATATGACTCCTTCATCTGGTGAATCCATATTCAGCACTCCACAGGGAGGATTATTCAACTTCACTCCTCAGGCTGCACCAAAAGACAAAGAAGCTTCGAAAGCTGTTGCTGAAACAACACCGGAAAATCTTGGTAAATCTGATACTCTTAGGGAGCTCTTATTGAAACCTTCGGCTCTGGCTAGCTCTATCTCGACTCCTAAAGGCTCATCTGCTACTACAACACCAACGAAACCTGAAGAAAGCACTACCTTCAAGACGTTCTCCTTCTCTCTTGGACAGTCCAATACTACAGCAGCTTCGCCGAGTATTTTCGGGCAGTCCGTCACAACTACCTCGAGCACAGGCCTTTTTAGTTCTACTGCTACTAGCGGCTTATTTAGCAGTACCACTAGTACGAATATGTTCAGCACTCCCACGCCTAGCGTTTTCGGATCTAAGAGTGGCGGCAGTTTGTTTGGGAGCGGCACCAGTACAAGTTCTGTTTTCGGTAGTGGAAGTGCCACACCGGTTTTTGGAAGCGTGGCTAATAGCAGTACCAGTATTTTCGGAGGTGTGGCAACAGCTACAACTTCGGCATCTATATTCGGCGGTTCTGGAAGTATTTTTGGTGGCACAACACCTTCCACCACCACTACAGCTTCTATTTTTGGAGGTGGTACCTCGAACGTTTTTAGTTTGGCAAAGACACCGGTCTTTGGGACGACTTCAACCGCTACTAATTTGTTTGGAGGAAGTGCTACTAATACTGGATTCAGCTTGTTTGGCACTAAGCAAGAGTCTTCATCAGAAACAACACCTAACGCAACTACTGTCAAAAGCACTACTGGTTTGAAAGAAGACGACGAAGTGATACTCAAGTGTAGCTCTGACATTTCGTTTGCTTCTTTAGCAGCAAACACTTCTGCAGATTCGAAGCCTGCTTTCAGCAAAACTGGTAATGGAACTTTTGCATTTTTGGGAGCAGGAGCACCCGTCTTTGGCTCCGCCGACTCAAAGAGGAAAGCAGATACATCTAAGAATCAGTCGGATGATGAAGGAGGCGATATCTAAGGCGACGAAGTTTATCATCCCCACTATGAGCCAATAATTCCACTGCCAGATGACATAGTTTGGACCACAGGTGAAGAAAATGAGACTATATTGTTCAACGAAAGAGCAAAATTGTTCAGATTCGATGCTAGCACAAAGGAATGGAAAGAACGGGGTGTAGGGCAAATGAAAGTGTTGCACCATCCTGAGAATAATACATACAGGCTGCTATTACGACGAGAACAAGCTCACAAAGTAGTATTGAACCAATTGATGATTCCGTCTCTGGAACTACAACCAATGTTGACTTCGGAAAAAGCTTGGATGTGGGCGGGATATAATTACACAGATGAAGGAAGTTCTCTTGAACAATTAGCAGTACGCTTCAAGAACATGGAATTGGCTCAACAGTTTCGCAGTGTGGTGGAAGACGTTATCAATAAATTGACTGAAGCTCAAAATAACTCCAAGTCTCTGCCAGTGTCTGTACAGAATTATGGAATTGAAGATGTGAGCATCGATGATCAAAACACGTTGTATACAGCTGAAGAAGAATATGAAGACGAGGATGAAGATGATGGATCCGTGATGTTCATGAAGCGTTGTACTTTGAGCGAATTAATACAGCCTGGCTCTTGGAATCAAGTTACCATCGGGGATTTACAGGTGTATTATGATCCACAATTGTATGCAGCAAGGATATCAATCAATGACGACAGTGATAATGTTGTGAGCAACACTCTGACAGGAGTCAATACTATAATGGATATTGAGAAAAATGAGTGCACGTAGAAGGCTGTAGAGTGGGCTGAAGGTGCAATAACCTGGTGAACTCTGAAAGCTTCCTTTAGTTCGGTGGCTGCGGCCCAGAANTTCAATGATTTACCTGATTCAATTGAATCTACTCTATCATTAAAGATTTTCGAAAGCGAACTGTTAAAATATATTCATGATGGAAATTGAAAAATTCCTTTTTGTTCAGTTCAAATTATGTACGTATATAAAGTTGTATTATTTATATAAATTTTGTTGATTATATTATATTTTAAGTTAGCTAACCTGTATATTAGGGAATTCTAATTCAATAAATAAATTCAAAGTTGAATACACTCTCCATAATGACTTAAACTAATTATAAAGAGAGGATTATCAGCTAGCACGTATAAATTGAAACTAAATAGTCTGTTTACATAAGCAGACGAGTAATAAATAATTTTCAAGCGGTTTTTCCAAAAACGTACATAATTGAGTCGGTTGAAAAGTGAGAAATGTAGATTTCAAACATTGAATGCTGTATAATTCGGTATAACAAATCTCAAAAGACGTTTTATAGTTGTAACAAAAATATGAAACACACGCATTAATAATTGATAATTTTTTTTTATTGAACATCCAAAATTGTTTTTATACAGCGTGACTCATGGTCGATGGTAGGTTAGACGTTTCTGGAAAACGCAAAGCATGATTTTTCTGAAAATTTCACCTCTTGCATTTCCGTACCTGTTCTATCGATCTGAAATATTTTCAGCATTGCGGCGTTGCCACTTACATCACAAATTCCTAGCAACTTTATTTTTTTAAATGGAACACCCCGTATATTAATACATTTTTGGAATCGCTCTGGTATTTTAATACTTTTTTGTTAATAATGTCACAAAAATGTATTAATATACGGGGTGTTCCATTATAAAAATATAATTGCTAGGACTTTTTGATAGAAGTGGCAACGCCGCAATGCTGAAAATATTTTAGATGGATAGAACAGGTACGGAAATGTGAAAGGTGGAATTTTCAGAAAAATCATGCTTTGCGTTTTCCAGAAACGTCTAACCTACCATCGACCGTGAGTCACGCTGTATATACTAGTTTAAGGAGTCTTTAAAAAGATTAATTTAAAAAAATGGCGACAATATATTAACATGTTATAAAAGAAGAGGATAAAATGAGGCAATACGACCATTTAGTTGAGGAAATTGTGGAACCTTCAATCATAACTTTCGTTGAACAACAAGTATTTTTGATTAAATACTCAACGCGCGCCACTGCAGGTACAAATCGATCCCAATAGTAATCAAATATTTTTTCGCGACCTGTTTGCTATACAAGTATAGGGTGGACCCGGTAAAGCGTTATAAATCCGCTTATTTAATACACAACGCTCGCCACTGCAGGTAGAAATCAACCCAAACAGTCAATAAATATTTTATTTGCGACCCGTGTGCTATACAAAAATAGGGTGGACATGATAAAGTATTATAAACCCGCCTATTAAATACCCTACACACGCCGTTGCAAGTTGATATCGACCTGAATGGTCATCAAATATTTGGTTTGCGGCCCGTTTGTCATACAAAAATAGGGTAAAGTATTATAAACCCGACAATATAACTTTATTAATAATCGCTTTATTAGGTTTTTGCATTTTCAGTGAGTGTTTCTTACTTTTTACTGTACTCAATATTGCTCATGGTATAATAATTGAATAAAATATCTTGGGGGTCTCTCCTACCTATATTGAAAAGATTCAGTATGAAAAAAGGTTATATGTTAANTATGTATATCTGAGTTTTTTTTTATATAGGTGTTTATTTTCGTAGATGAATAATACTAGCTGTAATATGTAGAGGCACAGTAATGGTAAGATGTTAAATTTTTTAAATAGTGATTTACAAGAGTCTAGTGGACGAGACTTGTCCATACAGCGAATGACACTTTCCTGAACTTTAAAATGTGGTCAGTTTATGCTGAGTTACCCTAGAAGATCAATCCATACTGTAGCCTTGATTGTACCAATCCATGATACATGAGTTTTATAACTTCTGTAGAGACAGTGTCTCACAGATTCCGAATTGCCTAGTTTGCACTGCCAACTTTCACACATAAATTGTCCATATGTGCCTCCCGTGTTAGCTTTTAATCCAGGAGTATTCCCAAAAATCGAACTACCTGACAGTATTCCAGAGTTTCACCACACATATGGATGTTTTTCATTAGATCTGGATTCGAGGTACCGTTTTTGGGTAAGAAATTGATAAACTTTGTTTTCTTTATATTGCAGACAAGGTCATTGTCGCTACAGTATTTACTGAATTCATCACATGCATAATTACCCAAGTTTTAATGAGCTAGGAGTATATTTGTGTCAACAGCGTAATGTGTCATTCTATTTGGTGTGTTACACGTATCATAGATGTCATTTGAGAATGTTATAAAAATAGTTGGTCCCAATATAGACCCCTAGCACTCCCAACTCGGCAGTCTTACAGTCAGACGGTTTTGGATTTGATCAAAGAGTGAAAATTTTGTTTCAAATTTAATGCAAAAATTAAAACTGAAAAAAAAAAGGTTTTTTTGATTGCAGATTATACTTGTAAACTAACAAATAATAGTGTTTGGTGCCAAATAGTTTGTACTTTGTACTTATGAATAGATTAGCTTGATATTTCCAAGTTAGTGGAGAGGCGATAAGATTGATGGAATGGTTATCATGATTCAGTGACCTGACATTAACCTTTTTTATGGGGATATGTCAAAAGTATTGTATATAAAACTAAACCCTTCAAATTAGTTGATTGACAATTGACAAAGTTAGTTAAATAATGCTTGCGATTAGTTCAAAAGGGTCGCATTCATGGCCCGAAACTAGATGCAATACCAGATGCAACACTTTTGGACTTTGGTATCATCTACTAGCCTACTTGCAGTGAAAGCTATAGAGATAGGCAGATAGCGATTTTGCATTCAGCGTTCAATGTTGAAGCTTGACTTTGTGACAGTCCGCTCTGTGAACTCTCATTTATCATTGATATTTGTTGTTTTCTGTCTATCCCATACTGGTGTCTTCATAAGGAAATTTGTTTCTAATCTATGAACCAGTTAATTCCATTTTTGCAGTGCAGTTAAGAATACATTTTTTCAGATCCGTGATGTTCATGAAGCGTTGTACTTTGAGCGAATTAATACAGCCTGGCTCTTGGAATGAAGTTACTATCGGGGATTTACAGGTGTATTATGATCCAGAATTGTATGCAGCAAGGATATCAATCAATGACGACAGTGGAAATGTTGTGAGCAACACTCTGATAGGAGTCAATACTCTAATGGATGTAAGTGTTTTAAACATAGAATATACCCTAATAATTGCAGGTTTTGGACCCTTATTTATTTTCCGTGTTTTGTAGATTGAGAAAAATGAGTGCACGTGGAAGGCTGTAGAGTGGGCTGAAGGTGCGATAACCTGGAGAACTCTGAAAGCTTCCTTTAGTTCTGTGGCTGCGGCCCAGGAATTCCACTCCAACTATCTGGAAGGGTTGAATTATGCACAGCAAGTTGGTATAGTTGACGAGATACCTTTCGAGCATGATGCAGAGACTGAAGATTAGTTTTTTCGAATTAAGAACAGGGACAAACGTGAAGAGATTGTAATTTACATTCTGTTGTATTTTGTAGTTTTATTAGACATATGTTATTTTTTAAATTTGCCTCAATTAAATTATGAAGTTGTGCAGACTATTTTTAATTTTTAGGAATATTAAATATTTTAAGATAGTTTTTGTTCTTTATTTTTGGTATCTATCTTGTACCATTATTGAGATGTCTTTGAATATTGCGAACCTGGTTTCACTTAATCTAATCCAACAATCGCAAATAAATACTTTCTATAATTTTGAAACAGATAGGTAAGGAAAAAATGCCTGAACTTTTGATGTACTTTTTAATACTTAATTTGAAAATAATGCATTTTTGAATTTGAATTTATTTATTGAATTAGGATTCCCTAATATACTGGTTAGCTAACTTAAAATATAATATAATCAACAAAATTTATATAAATAATACAATTTTATATACATACATAATTTGAACTGAACAAAAAGGAATTTTTCAATTTCCATCATGAATATATTTTAACNTCAGAAGCTGGTCTCAAAGCCTGTCTTCAAAATATTCGACCAAGCTGTAATACGCTTTTAAGAGCAAAAGTTCTTTTACACGGTTACGGAATACCTTGTAGTTCACTATACTTTTCATTTCGGTAGGTAAATGGTTGAAAATCTTCCGACTCTCAAACAAAACAGAATGTTTTGTTAACGTTGTTATTGGAATAGGCAGAGGTATGTCGTGAATTTGACGGGTAAAGTAGGTATTTTCTGATCTATAGCATTCTCTTCTTTTAAATATGAGACTTACTGTTTCCAAGATAAAAATGCAGTGTACAGTCAGTAATTTATTATTGATAAATAGGGGTTTGCAATGGTCCCTAATATTGGCTTTGTAGATGAATTTCACTGCTCTTTTTTGCAAAACGAAAACAGACTGTAGTAACTGTTTGCTACAAAACCCCCAGAAGGCGACACCATATCTCAAGTGAGATTCGATTAAAGCGTAGTACGCAGTTTTACCAGCAGTTGCTCCCAGTTCTTTAGTGATAACTCTAATGGCATAACAGCTAGATGAAAGTTTTTTGTTCAGATATTTTATATGATCTTCAAATTTCAGAAAGTTATCAATCCAAATTCCCAAGAATTTAGCAGATTGTTTATTTTCTATCATATGAGTTTGAAGGCAGAAATTTCCATGCACAAATTTAAATGATAGAATGTTAGTTTTGCTGAAGTTAAAACATAGTGAGTTTGAGTCACACCAATACTTAATTTTTTCTAAATCAGCTTTAATGGTACTCTTCAAGGAAACCAAATCCTTTCCACGCCACAATAAAGTGGTGTCATCTGCAAATAGTGTAATTTTACCATCAATATTGATGTTAGGAAGATCATTCACATATAGGAGAAATAAGATAGGACCTAGAACAGATCCTTGAGGAACTCCTCGGCATATTTTGGAGAGACTGGATGTTTTATTTCCTACCTTGACAAATGAGAAGTACAAATTGAAAGTTCAAATAAATAACGAGATGCTCGATAAGTAAGTGAATACTTTTTTCGAGATACAAATTTGGTGTGAATGGACATATACATACATACATACATTGAAGTAGTTAAACAAAAACATAGAATGAATAACGTATAAAGGTATTCGACTACGAACATATTCAATCCTAAATGTAATTAAACATGTACAACTATTAAAATTTGTCATTATACTTGAAATAAAATAAAAAAACAAACACTATAATACATTACAAAGACACAGTCAAAGATTATTTAGCTTTCAACCAGTTCTGTTTAATATAATATATTATCGTTTGTATAAATGCTTGATAAGAGTGAGACATAGGTATTTAAAATGGTGTTCAATTTTCATTTTCATATCAAACTTTTAAACAGTTCAGTTCAATACAATATATCAATAATCTACTTACCTGTTTGCCAACAGTGATACATCGGTATTTAAAAATTTTTCAATTTTCATTTTCCTTCGTTAATTTCAGTGACTACTATTCTAGGCGTTTTCAGAATATATTTTTTAAATTCTTTCTTGAAAGTAAAAATGTTTTTGATGTCAGTTATTAATCTGGAAATAGAATTATATACTTTATGTATCTGTATGACTTTTGACCAAACGATTTAGCCATGTGAGGTACTATATGTTGATTTTTCTGGCGAGTTTCGTAATGGTGAGTAGGTAGCTGTGCCTGATTCCGTGAAGAATGATATTTCAAACCAGTTTTCAGATAGTACAATTGCCTTGGATCAAGGATATAATTTTCACTTAAAAGCTGGTCTGAAGGATATCTGTTGTTTTTTGACAGCATTATTCTCAGAAATCTTTTTTGAATGGTTTCCAGAGGCTTAAGTTGCGTTCTCAGTGCGACGCCCCATCCCAAAATACCATATCTCAAATGAATTTCTACCAAGGCATGGTACAAAGTTTTCGCATTTCAAAATTAAGTACGACCTGACTGCTCTAGCCTCTAGCCGGGCATTCGACTGCGTCAATTACCAAAAACTTCTACTGAAATTGGAAAGGTATGGGCTAAGAGGTGCCTCTCTCAACTGGATATCCTCATTTCTTGAAGGTAGGAGTCAATATGTATCTCTCCAGTGTACGGTCAATAATGAAATCCAGAATATAAATTCTGAGCCTTCAAGCATAGGTATGGGTGTACCTCAAGGGTCCATTCTGGGCCCAATCCTTTTTATCCTATATGTAAACAATATAGACTCTGTTGTTTCTGGAGTTCTTTATACAGCTTATGCTGACGACATTTCTATGATCATCTAAGCACCAGATGACGAAATATTGAAAGACAAATGTGCTTCTGCAGTTGAACAAATATCAGATTTTTTCAATTATCATGATTTATTTTTTAATTCGGATAAAACAAATATTATTCGTTTTCATAATAAACAAAATAGGATAGAAGACTTCTGTTTCAGTGCTGATAATGTGACATACTCAAAATCGAATAAAAGTGTTAAATTCCTGGGTAGTCTTCTTGACGAAAACTTGAACTGGAATGCTCATTGCCAACATCTAATTTCTAAGCTTAACTCAATAAGATTTCTATTTATGAATCTGCGGAAGGGTTTAACTACCACTCAACTAATGAGCATTTATTATGCTCAAGTTGATTCAAGACTGAGGTATGGTGTCTGCTTCTGGGGTGGGTCATCCATGACTCACAATGTATTCATTGCTCAAAAACGCATTATACGGTGTATTGCAAATGTCTCAAGGAGAGAATCTTGCAGACAAATTTTCAAAAATGATCAAATCTTGACACTTATATCAGTTTATATATTTGAAATATGCATTTACATATTCAAAAACAAATCACATTTCAAAATGAGTAAAAATGTTCATCGCCATGACACTAGAACAAAAAATAGATTTCATGTGCCATATGCAAGACTAAGAATAACTTCATTTGCACCAGAATACATTGGAATAAAAATATTCAACAAACTGCCCGATCATTTGAGGGAAGAACATAATTTTGTGAAGTTTGAGAGAAATTTGAAGAGTTTTTTAATTGAACAATGTTTTTATTCATTGAATGACTTTTTAGTTTAGATAAGTAGGTAGGGTATTTTAATTTTAAGGTGATGTTTTCTACTTGTAAGTTTCTTATACTCCTGTCTATATTTTTATTTCTTTTATTTACTATTCCTATACAATGTATTTTGTCTACATGGAAAATAAAGTATTATTATTATAATGTCGCGAAGGTATTTTGCACATGCCAATTAGAGCGAGAAATTAGCTGCGATGGCAAAGCTGCTCTACAACTGATTAAGTAAAAAATAGTTCTAGCAACAGCAGTGTGTTTTTAGACCTGTTTATATAAACAAATGGCAGTGTATGTTGTGTTTTTATTGTTTTTTGAGATGTATTTATGTAAAATTATTTAATCATGACAAAGAAATATTTGACTGATAAAGAGTTGGAGGTTATGACATCGAAACCAAAGTCCAATCGTCCCAATGAAAGAGCCAAGACCGTAAAAAGCATGTAAAGTTCAATCAAACGTCGTCAAGATTTTTCTCACTGTTTTCTTCAATTACTGTGGCATAGTGCATCAGGAATTCTTTCCACACGACGAACGGTCAATAAGGAGTATTGTCTTGAAATTATGCGCCGTTTGCGAGAAACAATACAAAGTAAACATCTGGTACTGTGGAAAAAATTCATGGCTTTTGCAACACGATAATGATAGTTCTCACTAGTCACTGTTGTTCATAATTTATTTGGCAAAAACAACACCGTAATCATGCTCCAGCCACCGTATTCACTAGATTTGGCCTCCTGCGACCTCTTCCGGTTCCCAAGATTGAAGAGACCCATGAAAGGACAGCATTTTGCATGGACATATCAAAAAGTGCGAATCAGAACTACTTCGAGGAGGTGAAATTTCACTTACATGGAACACTGTCATACTCAATGGCGAACATCGGATGTTTCAGAATAACAAGCAAAAATAGACTAGAGAACAATCCTTATTTTTTATAAATGAATTCAAATTTACAAAAACGTGAATATGTGGGTTGTACACCAAAACAAGTTACTATAGCTAATAACTTTCAACAATTGAAACTTGGCTGACGAAACTGAAAGTATATTAATAGACCCCTTTTTATAATTAATTTCAGCTAATACAAAATATTCTGATTATTTATCATATTTACAATATTTATTATTCACCATACTCTATATACATCCAACAAAACTAATTCAAATACTTCCTCAATTTACAAGCCTCTTTGCACATTTCTTCGAGAGGCCTGACTGGTTGAAGGTTTTCATCCTTGTCATGATTCGCAAGATGAGTGTAAACGTCATCATTTCTTTCAAAATCTCCTTTTTTTCTTGGTAAAATATGTACATGAACGTGGGGGACAGTTTGGCCAGCAAAATGCCCGTCTTGAACGCAAATGGTTGATGATACAGTATTGTGTTCCATTTCCATTATTCTTTGAACTGCCACAGCAGTTTGGAATAAATCTGCAATTTCTTCTTGGGTCAAATCGACTAACCTAGGGGCAGATCTCAATGTAGCTATAAGAACATGACCTGGTACTACGCATCTAATATTTGTGAAAGCGTAACAATAATCTGATCGGTAAAACACAGTAGAACCTAAAATTTTTTTATCGGCAAAGCTGAATATGTCATTGTCATCTATATGCTTCTTTTTACTCAAAACCATACTCAGGTTGTAGAGGTCATTTCGGCGGTGTTGTTGTACAGGCATTTCTTGTCTTATTTTGTTCATGTATTCACAGTCTATCTCAGCAAATGCTATACTTTGGTTTGTTTCCATCTCTTCAGAATATTTCGGACATTCGGCCTTAATATTGCCCCACGGATCAACAATCATAGCATGTCCATAGGACACTCTTTTCTTGTTATGCCTTCCGTATTGAGCTGCAGCAATAACATAACATTGATTTTCTATTGCCCGTGCTCTTAACAACACTTCCCAATGTGCTCTACCCGTACTCGAAGTAAATGCAGAAGGATATGTCAAAATGTTGGCTCCCAGCTTTGTTTGCAAAGTGCTTAGTTCCGGAAATCTTAGATCATAACATATGGCTAATCCTAACGCTCCCGCAGGTGTGTCAATGGGGGGTAAAATTTGAGAACCACTTACATTAATATCAGATTCCCTTAGAAATATTTTCTTTTCTGGGATAGTCACATCAAACAAATGTACTTTTCTATAAATTGTTTTTATCTCACCAACATCATCTATTATGATGTGACTGTTATATATGGTATTGTCATCAATCTTTTCATGAAAACCTCCAATGGACAACCATATTTTATTTTGTGCAGCGATTTCCTTGTAAGCTTTCATCAAAGGCCCATCCAAAGATTCTGATAGACTTTTGGATTCATTTTTATCAGATGCCATATAATCTGAAGCTTCTGGTAGAAATACCATTCTGGCTTTTTCTCGTACTGCATCACTTACAAGATTTTGAACAGTCGTTAAGTTTTCTGATTTATCGTTAGTAGCAGTGAATTGACAAACAGCAACTTTGCACTTTGAAGTTGAAGACATTCTTTTTGAAACAAGAGAACAACAAATGTTTCTCATACACTCCTTAGTAAATTTAATTACAATCATGGGTAATGGAATATAACATTAGCTTTAATATTTTTCAATATTAACTACGCTAAACATTAAACATTAGAGTCTGAAAAACCCTGAGGTTGGCAATTTTTGAGGAATCAAAGGTTAACTTCTTCTCTTTTTCTTTAATTTTCGTTGAGTTAGTAAAGTGAAAATATGTTCCAAAAATAACTACTTCTTGACCAGAGTTTTTCACAGCGGCTTGTTCTGATTCTCTGTTCGTACCAGTATGAGTACACTGGTTACTCTTCTGTTGCTAACAGTCACTGGACTGAATACAGAATATGTTGTCGCATGAATCTTTTCAGAACACAACTGACACTGATAATTCGGACACAGCATTGGTAACCTTTGTTGAAACAGCATAGGTAACCTTACCTATGCTGTGATTCGGATAATTCGGAACATTACGAACCTTGTGGTGGTTCTTCTTCTTATTTTTTCATTAATGGCTTCAGCTTCCGGGGTTTTCCAGCCAGGAGCTCAAGAATCATGGTGCTACTATAGGTGGAGCCCACACTGAAGTGGGTAACTCGAGCCCAAATCCCACCTGGATTTACGCTAAAACAAAGTTCAAGTGTTACTATGAGGTGATGCACTACGTTTACGTGTACAGGCACTATCATCAGGTCATGATTGGCGAAGCACTGCATGCGCACAAGTATTAGTTCTACCTTGGTCACTACAGCTTTATGCATCAAACACTAAAACATTAAAATCACAGAGGACCCTAACATTGAAAAAATTCATGAACTGATGATACATTTCTTTACTCCTGTCTGTTGTCATTCACATTGAATAATACAAATGAATGTGTGATTGTAAAAAGAGACCCCGAGTCAATTTTACTAGATTTTCTATTTTGATGTTATTTTTACAATTTTAATGTTCTGTTGATCATCGTAAATTTGTGGTTTGATTTCAGTATTTATAGCACATGAGATAAAACTTCGTAAATATATGTAACATAGAAAAAAATTACAATTTCACCATATTTTTTCCTGTGAAGAAACTAGGATCTTAGTTTGTTTGAAGGTGATTGACAATGTTTCATGATGAATTTCACTAGTTCGGATTTCCATTGTCTACTATATAAAATGATTTGAAATCCCTGAAACAACTAAAAAAGAATAATTAAAAATGAATAGCTGAAAATAACAATTATTGTCCAACAACGTATTCAGCCAAGCCAGCGTAGAAATACGCGACTTAAATAAATTAGATTATAGATAATCGCTCTTCTCAAGTCTTCTTTCTGTACCACAAACCACAAACTATTTCTGTACTTGAATCCTAAAAAACAGACACTGATTCTGTCACTGAATTATGAAACTTCAAAATGTAGCATCTAGAGACAGCCGCCTCCTTGTATGAGAACATAAGTAAAAAAGTCTACTGCTTCATTAAATTTACTCAATTTTTTTATAGGAAAAATAACAAAAATATAATAAATAGGTAACATCGACTTACCTATAGACCTCTGACACTGAATTCTGTTTGAAATCTGTTTTTCCGTTAATCAGCTGTCGCCCCCATGCGAACAACAACAAGTTGAGAAACTTGTGTGAGCTAAGGACTAACGAAGTCTTACCTTTTAACGTGTGATTCCTAACACGTTGAAGAGGAATATTTTCAAGAGAAATTAATTTCTTGCTTTCTACTTCTTCAACTTCATAAAAGTGTATATTCTGTACAGAGGTTTTTTCCGATACAAACTAATGGAGAAAGCTCCTCAGAAACAATAACTTCCATGTGATCATTGAATCTCATAATAATCTATTTTCCCATCAATTTGTTTTCCAAACATGAAATAGGAAAACTATTTCACTTTGTTGAGATGAAACGGAACGTAATCTATATATGTATCAATAATTGTTTCTAATCATTCCGCTTTCAAAATTGAATCATAATGAACTCTTACCAAAGACGTTGAGTTTATTTTAGATTTGCTTTCTTCGAATATTTATATGTCCAAATTATAAAAGTATAAAAGTTGAAAATCAAGTGCCATTAAAATTAATAGGTATACTAATATAATAGACACTTTATATATCAATAAAATAACAGATGTATGTTTATAAGTAGAATGAAAACTAAGGGATTGTACAAAGTCATAAATTTAGGGATTATCCGAAAAAGTGGTTTACTTCAATTTCATGAGATTTTAATTTTACCTGAAACAAAAAGTTATGTTAAATTGTTAAATTATACATTGTTACTTTTATTACAATTAATTTAATTGCATAAATGAACCTTCAATATAAGTTTTTAACCTTTGTAATATATGCAGAAAGTCTTGGTGGAAGGATTAGTTGAAGGACATCATGTTATTTCTCTTTTTTTATTGTCAGACTCTCATTTGATACCTATATCATGAACTTATAAACGTAAAAAACATTTGAGAATTGATTGATCGGTTGCAATGAAACGATTTAAAAAAATGCCAAAATAGTTCAATATTGGCAATTTCAAACAAGAACAAGTATAATGGACTAGCCTCTCATTAGACATAAATTACTTCCAGAATCTCAAAGTATTTAATATAATCAGTACTTGGTTTGTTTCGTTGGATAAAATTGGACCAGCTTCTGGGACAACTTGTCGGCCAGCTCTTGCGTTCCTGCTACCAGCACTCTCCTGGACATTCTATCAATTTCACCACCAGCTGGATCGATTGCCACACCTCCTGCTTCAGTTACTATCAACTCTCCTGCAGCGATATCCCAAATATGTATCCCAAACTCGAAGTAAGCCTCGGCAGCTCCGCAGGCCACCATTGCCATATTCAATGCTGCAGAACCAAGGGACCGTAATCTAAAAATACAATGAGAAGGTATAAGGCTAGATGAGGATTGAATTCAGTGATCAAAATTCAAAGGATCCCATCGGATCATAGACATTGCTGAATATTTTTCACTCTAAAAATAAGAAACAATGATTAAATTTTGACATATGTTGAAATTCTTCAGTTTGTTCAAACCTGAATTGGTTTTAAATGGTTAAATCTTTATGCATCATGAGTTGTTGACTACATATAATATACATAGATATCAAATGATTCATGACATTGTTGGACTAGTCAAAAGAAATGAGTACAAAAACGAAGTTACTTTGTAGACAATAATTTAACTTTTTTTTTGGTTCAGTAAGATGTACATACACAAAATTAGTATCATTTTTAAGCCATGTTTCACATAATAAAATAAATTATGTGCTTGCTGGTTAGATCTTTATAATACTGTCAACAGTACATGTCTAACACACACTAAACACTGAGCGTCTGTCCAACGAGAGAGGAGGAGCCTGTCTTCCGCTGACGTATGCATGAGAGAAAGGGAAGCCAGACAAACTGGTGCTGTTACGTGTTAGGTAACGAAGATGTTTACCCTCCCATAAGAAGTTATAACTTCAATATTTTGCAACACCACTCTCCCTAATGTTGCTTGCTTTACATATATAAAAAACTATGCCTGTACAAATCGAAACATATTTTTGTATACAGATAATTTTCTCTGGAAGATATGAGTGTTATCAAATAAGTTTATTGTAGGTACAGACTATTTTCATTTTTTTTTATTTATTTATAAACGGGTTACCCCAATACAGTTAAGAAATAACATATATGTTGCGACGTTTAACTTATGCACTATATCACATTGAAATCACATCAGAATACAAAAATATAATAATATCTGAAATATATAAATATAAAATAATAATAAAATTTCAATTTTACAACATTATCACTAATCATAAATAGAAATCAATTGAACAACAATCTAGCTATTTGTTTTTTAAAAATCTTTGGATTTTCGCAGAAGAAAGCTTAAGTATAGGAAAATACTCATATTAAATATGAACTTAGGAAAAGTAACTCAATTTCAGGTATTGCAACAGTACGAACTTTCTTATTTTGAATAAAATTCTAATTGTGGGAACTGCTTTCCTTCCTATCATTTGAAGTTTACACCCAAGGTTAACAAATATTTGAATTATATCCAAGGTTAACAGATAATTTAATTACACCCAAGGTTAGCAAATAATTGAAAAGACCTAGATAACAATTAGTTCAACTTTGAACACCATTTCCACACTAATTTCTCAAAATTGCTTTGAAATTAAAAGTTCAGTAAAGTAGTAGGACAAAATTCAATGCAATCCAAATGCTACAAGCAGTCAACAAAAAAATTAGTTCAAATTTTTCTAGACCAGAACTCACCCATGCACTTGGGGCATTAGAATTTCTTGATTTTCAAGGTTGACTTTTCTCCTCTCTGGGTCCCTGCTAGTACCAAATTCGAACATAAGAAGAGCCTCTGCCAAATTTGTTTTATTTGATACTTTTATTTGTTTCCCGTTCAAAAATGCACCTTTTCCTTTTCTAGCTGTGAAAAGCTGTTTCAACATGGGATTGTAAATTACTCCAATTTCAGGTTTCTTATCAATAAATAAAGCTATGGAAATGCAGGAATGTGGAAACGAGTGGACAAAATTCATTGTCCCATCGATAGGATCTATGATCCATGTTGGATCATCAGTCAAAATACACTGACTTCCTTCGGAAACGGATTCCTCGCCGATGAACTTATGGTCAGGAAATTGTTTTGAAAGTCCTTCAATAAGTAATTTTTCAACTGCTTGATCAGTTTCTGTCACCAGATCAATTTCACTTGACTTGAATTCAATGGATTTATTTCTAGATGATATTTTTTCATTGATCAGCTGCAACATAAAAATAATGGTTTTTGGATTATTCAATATGGAAAAACTCACCTCTCCGGCAGTTTGAGTTAAACCCAAGACAGTTTCATAAAATAAATCCAAGTTGTGTGACATTTCTGAATTTTTAAAAAATTTCTTCGAAAAAATTGAGCTTGTATTTAAAAAAGTATTAAATGTATATGAAAATACGTGGCTTCTTTTGATGAATACAGATCTAACCACTTTTCCTTGGCAATTATTTATAATCATTAATGCCCGTATGCACCGTGTACATTTAATCGGGATTAAAGGTTTAATCTAGATAAATGCTTTAATTTACCATGCACCGTACTAAAAGTCGGGCTTAAGCTTTCGAAAATCTAATCCTCCGTTTTTCATGGATTAAACTTGGATTAGTCTGTAGAAACGATTTTTCTAACCTAAAAATAAAAGTGTTTATATTATTATCATCACTTCAACTGAATATTGCGGATACTAATGGAGAATAATTAGTACAATTCGAATAGCAAATAAAACTCAAACATGAACAATCTAAACTTCAATCACATATGACAACTGACCCTGATGACAAATACACAGAGAAGCCAATTTCCCACTAACATGGAAATCTATGAACCTTAAAATATACTTTTTGAAGTTTTGGGTTCAAACATCAGTCTTTAACGCATAATCACAATACCACTTCGATTTTTCAAGAACAATAACACACGCATTTCTCGCAAGCATGTATTGCAAGATACAAGTTCTCCAATTCATTGGGAAGTGTGAAATTGTTATAAATATTTATCCAAGTTCGTAATAATTTACAAATGATTTTCGTTATCAACTGGCCGGATAGCTCTGGTTGCTGTGACCAACGAATGGATAAGAAAAAAAGAAGACATTATAATTAATAAATCACTGTGTGTCACTGTATTTAGCAGAAGGCGCTTTTATTTTGAAATTCTGACATTTTATATTCATATCTAATAATGGAATGTGTTGATTGTGGTGGTACCGATTTTTATAATGAAGCTGGATATTTTTATTGCTCTGAATGCCAAACACAAAGTCAAGAGGTTCAAGAAAATGAGCTTCAAGAGGAATTGACCAATGTAAAAGCCTATAAAAAGATCAAAACAACCCCAAAAGTAGACAAAACTGAAAATAATATAACTAGTTGGGAGTGCTACAATGTTATAATGGCTTCATTAACACAACAGTTGATCAATCTGGGTGCCGACAGGTCTTTGAAACAAGTGGTGAAATGTTTGTGGATGAAGTACTTGGAAAAACTTGAAGTTATAAACTTCAAGTATGATGAGAAACCTAAACTGTCTCTAGTCAACTCCAAACGGTATTAATGGCATTTACGTTGTTAACTTGAAATAGTTTCATCAAAACAAAATTCTCGATGTTATTAGTAGTAATATTTCAATAGTTATTGTTCTGATTCTGATATTCACTTTGATAAATTGCATGGTATTTTATCAGGTTAGCAGTTGATAGTTCAAGTTTGTTTTTATCTTTTATTTTTCTCAATATGTTTTATATATCTTTATTGATTTATGCTTACAACTGTTTTGCATACTGTCCTGCGATGTAATTCATTTTTGATAAATAAATTTTGATTTTCAATTCATTTATTTTTGGCATATTTTGTTTTTTTTGCAGACCAAATTAGTACAGGCTCAGTATGTCAAGTTTTCACAGCAGTCTACCCAAGAAAGTGCTTCTTTACACACTGAAACCTTAGCAAGTGTTAAAAGTAGTAACGACCGAACAATAAATGCAAATACTAATATTAAATTCAATCGTTACAGTGTCAGCGAACTAAGAAAAAAAATTTCAATGAGACATTTAACAAAACACAAAGCGGATCATTCACGAAACTTAACCTGTCATAAATTCACTTACAAGGATTGCTCAAGAGAGTATAAAAATGGTATACACTTTTTATCTCCAGTAAAACTATATTGCATTTTGTATTTAGGACTGCTCATAACAAAGGACAAGATTCAACTAGGGGACTTATTTAGGTTTATACGAGAGGGTCACTTGAGCTTCAACAATTTCACTCAACTGTTTCCCGAAGGTTATACTGATAAATTTCTGAACATTCGTAATAATTTGAAGAATTCCTTATTCACGAACAAGTATTTCCGGGTAACGACTGCGAAGTTGGCCACGTTTCTAAAAGTTACTACCTATATAAGAGTTCCTGATTTGGTGGAGTTGACCAAACGCTATTGCAAGGAAATGAATTTGCCAGGTAATTATCATGAATATTTTGTCAAAGCTGATTTCCAGGTTTGTTAGCAATAGTCTGCAGATTTTTGTCTCTGACGTTTCTTTTACAACTGCGGCAGACATTATCAAAGGTGATAAGCAATAGACGAAGTGCTCTGGTTGTCCTCACAGCATATACTAAATTATTGCAATATTTATCTGGTATTATACCATTACTAGTGGGCTTGGCTTAGTTCCTATTAGTTGGGTTGAATTATCTGATTTCTGTGCAATTTAGAACAGGTATCCATATTTCATTTATGTCAATTCCTTCTTTCTTGCAATTGAATTCATCTTTATTAATTTCTGTAACCTCCCCATAAACCTTTGAATAGTAAATCTGGCTGATAGGAAGACGACTAGATACTGTAGTCATAGACTAGACGTCATACATAAAAACTGCGGAGCATAGATAATAAACCCGGAAAATAGCTTTGACCCAATAATTTCCGGCCATGAAAATTTACATTCTTTGATCAGGATTATTTATGGGGTCTAACAATTATTGTTCTAATTTCTTATTGAAAATTCTCCTGAACTGTTTTTTCCTTTTTTTTTTTCATAAAGGTTGTTATGAATACTAAATATATCAGAATTGAATTAAAATAAAATTCATTTTCAGATGATTTCTTCTTAGCTGTCACTAATATTTTATCGAAAACCAATGTGAAACTGAAGATGACAAGGGTAGGCAAAATAATACCGAACTATGAAGGAAGGGTCATGTCTCTTATACTGTTTACGTTCAAATTGCTGTTTGGGATAGATGGGAAGTCCGAAGACCACCTGTCGAAATATGCCCAACTAATTAACGAGCTGAACTTGTGTGAGCAAAGTATGTTTGATATAAAAAAATGGATGATGTATATAGAGTACAGAAATTTGGTATTGAGCGAATATCATTTTCCAACACATGATATTTCAAATTCTAAGGTGGATAGTAATTTACTCCTACAGTATATGAAGTCCCATAATATTGAATATGATGAAAATGCTAAGTTGACTAGAGAAATGAAGGATTACAAAGAAATATTAACAAGAATAAAAACTCTGCAGAACGAATTCACAACTCATTTAGAGTATCCAGCATCTCTTACTCCGTTTAGGAATCACATCGAAGTGGTACTCAAGTGGGTCAACAGGCCTATGTCAAAGGAAGTACTGGAATACAATTTCGAAAAGGAATCTCTTGATTTCCTGCTGAAACCCAATGAATATTTGCTCACATTGAATAGCTCTATGATCATAAAACATCGAGGCGCAAATAATAACTGGATTGTGGAGGATATTAGGACGAAAAGGACTGTGAGAAACATCACTTGTAAAAGTCGTAACTTTGTACCAGTAAAAATTGTCTCGTCTGTTGCAGATGAAGATATGACGTGCCCAGTAGATGAGGCAGATACAACACCAGTGAAAAAAGTGAATCCTCAGTATGTGCAACAGCAGTATCAGAAATGCCGAAGGCATGTTTTTCTGAATAATGCTCGTTACACCAGAAAATTCTGTAAGTCTGTCAATATACATCTGGCCGAGATGGATAAGAATGTCTCCTATTCAGTTCACTTCAATCCCTATGAAAGGTATTGGTTTTATCTACAGATGAATATTGATTTGATCAACAAAATTGAATTCAATGAATTCTTCAACAAAAACACTGATAACTTCAAAATTGTCTTCAAAGAATGTGCAAGGATCATCGAACAAAACTTCCAGGAGTTATATACAGAGCTTCAGTTCACCGAACTGTATTTGGTGTTCTCGGCTAATTTCGGTAACCAAAACAACGTACCAAAACCTAAAAGATGGTTGACTGAAAAACTTGGTTTCTATGTCGATCAAGCTGAAACCCTATGGTGATTAGTTAGGAGAATAATTATAGTAATAATAGTGCCTGCTAAAAAGTCACTAGCGAGGCGAGCGCGAAATATCATAGAAAACCTCAAGTTTCATAAGAAACCTCACTTCTTCCAAGGGCCTCCTCGTATTGATAATGATCCGCCGACCGCTGATCAGGTGGAATCCTTCTGAAGCCGCTTAACCTGCGCAGCCCAATAACCTCGAATGACGTTCAAGAAGCCTTTTTAAAAATAAGAACTTGCTGTTTCTAGCCCAGATGGGCTGAATATCCATATAAAAAAACTGCCAAGCACCCACCGTCTTCTAACCGAAGAGTTCAACTCATGATTGAAGTGAGAGCAGCATCAGATTCTAGATTGGGTTGTCGTGGGACGGACCGTTCTTATCTCCAAAAGCAAAGATTTGTCGAAGAGAAAAGTCGCTGGATGTAAAGTGATAAATAATAATATATCGTCTTCATTTCCTTTCTGTGCATAGCAGAACTTAATAAAGTCCAAGAATAACCTCTCTATGGCCCGGATTGATTACCGCGACGCACTTGATACAATATTCCATGAGCTCGCCTTGAATTTCTCAGATGTCTTGCGCTTCCCGACAAAATGAGAAACCTTAAACTCATATCACCCTGGAGGGCTCCCTTTGCATAACATGTGATCAGGCTAGTTTCCAAACGGAGTCGGGTGTATTTCGGGGCAATTTTCTCAGCTCACTTCTTTTATGCATCATTCGTTGTGCTCAAAAAAAATTCGAGAGTACAATTGTGGCACTCCTTGAAACCGGAGGCTTATTTCACTTATGTCAGTTTTTTTTAATATGGGTGACATTAAACTTAATACTGGAGGTGGCATCTTCATCAATCCTTGATGGTGTTCAGTACGGAATTTAAAATAAAAAAATGTACGATGCGATGAACAGGGAAGGAATGATAGCTCCTATACGGAAGCATCCTTCACCTCGGGGTGGAACATTGCCTCCTACAAGAGGTATTCTCAATAAAGAACTCTCTCGTGGCTAGTATAATCACACTCCGACATATTTGGTCATCAGAATTGTCGGGGAAAAGCGCTGATACAAATATACGGCCATTCTGATCTCGGCAGTGGAGAGTACTCAAGAGCAGTCTGTATCAACTGACCAGCATCACTTTTCACGTAGGAGCGGTCCTATAGAACGTGCGTTCTATAGGAGCTTCGGGGAAAGGACCCGACTAATTCAACCTTCTTAGAAGTAATAACGGAGATTTTTTTCTCTGTACATATGTACAGATGAGAGAAGGAAGAAATGCCATATTCAACGTATGAAGTACTTGTTTTCACATATTACTTATTAAGATTTAACAATGTTAAGTTCTTGTACATTACTTAAATGGTCTGTATTATACTTGGGCAAAGGGTGTAATAAACCAACCCATCGAGTTGAATAACAATGGATTTCAGAACTCTTACTCTGTTTTTTTTCTTCGGTTCGGAATATATGATGGGATATAATAGAGTACCGGTCTTATAACTGATCTTGGGGGAACACTCTGGTAATGATGGATATATATGATATATAAAACATTATCAGTTTGATCCGATCATTTTCCATTGAACATTTCGTCTAGTTTGAATATTGAAGGTTCGATCCATTCAACTGGTTGTGGGTGTAATTTATTTTATTTAACGGGTGGATAGATATCTAAATATTTTTGTTCACTCAGTGATTTACCCGGGTTTGAATCCGAATGGTAGGTGCATCTTGAACTCGTTAATGATACTAAAAAAAGAGACATTTTTCATATAATGTAGATATTTTCAAGAATGTTTTGCTTTGAGAAAATTATTGTGCAAGTTGAAAAAACAAAGTTCGCTTGGCGAGCTGTCAGCCGTCAATAATTTTATTTGGTCACCGCTCAAGACGGATGTTGTCTCTAACCTCTGACAGTCGATGGTAAGCATAGAACGTACATTTTCTAATTTTGTTGTTCTGTGCTAAGGTTTTAAATTTATTTTTATCAATTTTGAGACATGTATCGTTTGTGTACTGATATTGCGTACATATGTGAAGTAAAATCTATCATATGGAAGTTATGATGATAGAAAAATGATTTAATTTCGAAGAAAACCAGTATTCAGCACCGAAAAAGGTTACTCTTATTCAAAGGAAATGAGTTCTGAAGTTACTGTTCATTACCTAACAAATGATCCAAATACGGCATGGAAGGAAATATTCAAAAGCCAAAAGATATTGAAGCTAAATGTTAGAATACCCGTAAAACCAGTTGAACAGGATAAAGTTAGATTCGTGTGCATGAGTGACACTCATTCTCTAATAAGAAATATCAATTTCGATATACCTGATGGTGATGTTTTTATACATGCAGGTGACTTCACGAAGTGCGGACAAGCAGAAGAAGTTGTACAGTTCAATGAATGGCTAGGTTTGTGAAGTATTTTCAGAGATATACTAAGTTGATATTTTGAATAGAGATTGTGAACATAGCAGGGTGCAGAGCCTTTTAATATTAACAGCAAGTACATCTATATAGACCAGTACAATGACATTTTCTGTTTGAAATATTTCCACTTGTAAGCTTTGTTCAAAGTTATATATGTACCATTCACAACAATGTGTTTCTAATATGAACCTGCACCTTTTCTTGCTAATATATTGCATAATTTACTTTCATTCATGTCGAATACCTTGCTGCTTGTTTCACAATTTGAGTTTGAATTGTCATTTATTCAGTATATCTCTGAAAACTCTTTAATGGATAATTTTAGCATGTTGATGAATATGTAAGATGTTCTCATTTAGGATCTTTACCGCATAGATATAAGGTTGTTATTGCTGGGAACCATGAACTCAGCTTTGATAAGAAGTTCATAGATGTCTTTAGACAAAAGGTATCATCAAGACCTTGCTGTTCAGAATACATAGAGGATGAAGTGCCAAACTATGGGCATACTAAAGATAACATTGCTGATGCTGTGAACACTGAAAATATTAGGCAGTACCTTACAAACTGCATATATTTAGAAGACAGTGGATTAGAAATATATGGAATCAAGTTATATGGGACCCCTTGGTGAGTGTAGCTTTATGAAATAATATTTTGTAGTAATTGAATAATTACTATACTTTTATCTTTTTTCCTGAATGTAGATTTTAAAGTCCGAAACACATATATTTGAAAACTTTCTACTGTGAATATCAACATTGCTTGTATTCCATTTATCAAATATTTAATCTTCTACAAACTCACAATTAAAAATTATAATGGTAATCTTTATTGCAGTAGGAGAAACATTCAAATCTATACAAAAAAATTAATTGTTATAATGAACTATCAAGTACTTGCATATCAATATATACTCAACAATAGTTGACATTTATCTACTATTATATGTTCTAATTACCTGCCAGAAAAAGAAACTGTTTATAGGTATACTGAACATGTGTTAGTGCCTGAGGTTAAATTGTTAGAAACTTAGGAATAAAATACAGACCTGATTTTGATAATTTTTTGAAAGTCTGTCATTCCAACGTCATTTAAATCTGTTTTAATTCTGTTTTTCCGTTAACCAGCTGTCGCACCCCAACAAACGACAACCCTCAGAAGTCGAAACTTGTGCGAGCTAAGGATTAACGAGGTCATACCTTTTAACGTGTGATAGGTCCCCTTGGACCTATCATAGTTTTTGTTTACGTATTTTGTGTACACCATCAAGTTGATATGAAAAAATTCCGTAAAATGTTCAGCAGAATATTTTCCATGAAGTCGCAGAAAATTTGTTGCAGAAAATATAAATCTATCCCCATTGAAACTGCCTTTTGAAATTTCATCCAATATGCCATCCAAACATTGATACCAAATTGTTCTTGAAAATTTGTATCACGAGTTCAACACTTGTTCTCATCACTCTGATAAAAGTGAACATTGCAATGGACATGTCATAATTAGTTAGCCTACTTTTATCTGTCCACTTAATTTCAGAATTATTGCTATTGTCAAAGTGATTATTCCTCAACAATCATCTACAGAATTCTACGTATTTTAAAAAATGCACCTTTCGAATTTTGTAAAGGCAATAGTCTTATTTTATTAGATATGTTCAAAACAAACAAAAGTCAGTGACATTTTCTTCGCATTATCCACTGATATTTCTCAGTTGTGAAAAAATCTTGGACTCATATCAGATGATGATTTGAATTTTATTCAGATTTATGTGAGCTATGGATTAAAGGGGTCTTATCTTTCAACGTACGACTTCTAGAATTTTATAGTTAACATTTATATAAAAATATATTTTTATAACGGGTTATTTTTCACCCATAGAAAATATCTGCATACTATGTTCCGTCAACAATGAGTTTTATAATTCCAATATCAAGTTAATGTATTGCATTTGTATGTTTATATAAACCTTTTTTCTTCCAGTTTCTTGTTTCTAATATTACTAGAGTCAATATTTTCAGGCAGCCAGAGTTTGGAAACTGGGCTTTTAATTTGACACGGGGAGAAGAATGTCTCTCCAAATGGAACAAAATACCTAATGACATTGATATTTTGATAACACATACGCCACCATTAGGCCATGGAGACTTGGTATGCTCTGGTGTACGAGCTGGTTGCGTAGAGCTTTTGAACACTGTCCAACAGAGAGTTAAACCAAAGTATCACGTATTTGGGCATATTCATGAAGGTGAGAGGGACAATATTATGTTGGTCTTGTGAGTAAAACTGTTTTCTTTCAATATTTATTTTTATCTAAACCCTGTTGCCAAACGTCAGAACTGCAACACTCTTCTCGACGCGTGTTTTACTAATCAAGTTGGCGTCATCAGATTATAAAGTGCATGGTGTACTTCATATCCCGAAGACGGCAACTTGGTTGACGAAACACATTTCGAGAGAACTTTTGCAGTTCTGGTGTTTGGGAGCAGTACTTTGAAATGTTATTTTTTTCTTAAAAGGTTCTATTCACCTCACACTGTGATGAACAATGTTGACATACTTTATTTATGTGAAGTTAGTAAATATAGTTATAAATTCCTCAACTACATGATATTATATTATTTATGATTATAATTTACCTCACTCCATGAAGGAAAATAAGAATTTAAGAGGTTTCAGAAATTTTCTAAGAGAATTACTTCAGTAATTGTAATATTCTAATCTTTCAGGTTATGGAGTGACGTCGGATGGTAAAATAATTTTCATAAATGCTTCTACATGTGATATCAACTATATACCAGACAACTTACCCGTGGTTTTTGATGTACCCCTCAAAAAGGGTTTTGTAAAAGACATATAATCTAATTATCACTAAAATATTGTTGATAATTTAGGTATCTGTAGGTACTTGTTTTGTATGTTTTATATGAAATGTTTTGTTTATAAATTAATATTCATAATTAAACTCTTCCCTATTCAATGACAGGTCTTTATTTCAAGGGTGCTTTATTTAAACAAACTAGCTGTTCTTTCAGATTCATAGTGATGAATAATCTAGTAAGATTTTTACACGTAAAAGTTTTTCAGGTTTCAATGCAAAATTGTCTGTAATGTGTATTGAATAAATAATTAAAAAAAAAGAATCATTACTATTCAAGACCAGTTTTCTATATAGAGTAGTTTTTGATATTATACAATCTGAAAAATAGAGTTAATATAGATAATATTTACAAGTTGGTCTCATCTTCTACAGAGTTGTAGGAACTTAATTAATCATCTATTTCTAGTGGGTATCATTGATTTCAACAAAATTAAATTGGAGAGGTATCCATTGAATTTCAAATGTTGGAGTTTTCCAATTTTGAAAGCAAGAAAATTTATTTACCATATTAATTCTCTTTCTAGACTTTGGAGACTTCAAAATGTCTTAAAATTATCTGCTCAATCTCCCAAAGGTATGTAACTGGTCCAATTTTATATCATCAATATCTTTGTATTTTATAATAGCTGGAGCTTTGTTCCAAAATAAATAACTCATTAGTTTTTCTTAATTTGTTTTATTCAACAATATTCAGGTACTCAAGTGAAATAAAATACATAAAACATTCATAATCTACACTAGATATATTCTAATTTTAAAAATTTGTAATTCATTAAACATGTGAATGGTGATTCGTGCTATGTGGAAAATATATCTGGACCACCAACACTGGGAAAATTTATAAGTTGCTGTGAAGTCTTTGAATTTTTGTATCATTTCAATTCAAAAACAGTACATGTCTAGTGAGACTTACAAATTATTACATTAGAAGTCATCAATACTTAAATTAGGTTTTGCTACTAACTATAAGTATTTGGTGAAAGTATGTTTAAAACTTATGTTGGTCACAGTTACATATGGGTCGCAAATATGTATTTGTTCAGAGCATTGAGACAAAAATAAACAAGTTATACATTTTTATGCAAGTATGATATACTTTAATACACAATGATAAATGCAATCCTAATTGTTGTGATTCAGATAAAAACAGCTAGAAATATTAAACAGCAAACTTTGTCCAAGGCTTAAAATGTATATCTAGGAAAATGTGTTGAAAAATATTTTCTCTAATACAGAAAACCATTTCAATTGTTGACTGGATTTTTCATTTGAGTTAAAACATCTTCAAAATAAAATGTACTTGGCTTTTTGATATTCCTTCTTCAGCTCATCATTCTTGGTGAAGTGGACCGTGTGATTGTTATTCTGGTGCTTTCATATTGTGCGAACCATAAGCAATGCTTATAATAATGTAGGTCCCTGTGTATTGATCAGATTTGTAGATGGCAGTACTCCGCTGGGTTTTGACTGTGTATATCATGACTTCTGAGGTTGCTTCTTCTCATCATCTGTCCCTAAGACATCTTTATTCACCTCTTGCAAATCTATTTTCTGATCCTTCATAGCTTTCTGTATAGAAACAAATTGACAGCAATTGTAATACTTATATGAAAACTATTTTACTATTGAAATGAAGCAAACACAAAAAAATGAGTCAAAAAGCAGAACTTGTTAACAACTTTTAATAAACATTTTTCAATGGTATTCAAACATCCTGTTTTCTCATAATATTTAGGAATGGAAAACTTTCTATGAAAGGAAGAACAAATTGAGGAAAGTACGATGAACAGATATCCACATTTTCTGCAAGGATTGAGTGAGAGTTATCCAAAAAACATGCTGATGAAGCTTTTATTTTCTTTTTCTGATTGATTAGATGAAAGATGAAAAGTGTAATACAAAATACTCTCCAGAAAGGTATGTTTGCTTCTGGTACTGATTTGGAGTATTGCTTTGGCTATGAACCAGAGGATATTTGATTACTGACTTACTTTGACGCACTGCTGATACACTTTGAATAAAGGAGCACACATTGAGTCGTTTGTATTTCCTTTCAGAAAGTGATCTGAGAACCAGGTGTTGAAGCAAGCATCATATTCTTTTTTCAAATCATTACAAGCCTCTCCAATGCTATTCATTATGTTGACAGCAAATCTATAGAAAATAAATGCAAGTTATTCAAAAGGAATACGTTTTACACCGCAGACTTTGGTATCGTCAGTTTGGAATGTTAACTGATCACTATTGAGTAAAGGATCAAAATTTTGAAAAACCACTTTTAATCGATAAAGTAACCTCAAACTAATGACATGTGACATTGAATGTAACCTCACATCCATGCCCGAGAATACTTACCACAGAGAAGCGACAAAGACGGCCATTTTGTGTCCCTTTCTCGTAGGCGCATGCGTCGACTTGGTTGTCTCACGTCATTCTCGGGCTTAGTTGTCTCCATTAGTCTGTGAGCACTGAGCAAACATAATGAGATAGGTAGTTAGTTACAAAAGGTACCTTCCTAACTCGGTATACATTAAAATTATGCTATTTAAGCAAGAGTTTTCAGGAGATAATTAGTTTTCAAGAATCAATAGTGAGTTGTTTGTTTTTGAATCGACACTAGAGAAATTCTACGATTTAAACTTAATATTTAAGGCACCTGAAATTAAAATTAAAGCAATGCTCGAACAGGACAAGCGATGTGTGATATCTATAGATGAGATGGCTTTGAAATCCAATCTTTTTTTGATACAGGGTGTGATGAAATTATTGGTTTCGAAGTTATTGGAGAGGCAAATAAGAGGAATTCCAAATGTAGAAATATTCTCGTTAATATGGCTAGAGGACTTTATTCTCCCTGGAAACAACCGATTGCTTTTTTTTCATTGAATCACAGCTACCAGCAAAAAATCTACGTGATATTTTGGATAAGTGCATTTCTAAATTATCCAATATAGGTCTGCATGTTGATGGCATTATGAATGGCATGGACTCTAACTTTTATGAATTGTCAAAGTTATTAGGGGTCACTTTAGAAGAATCTGAATTTGAGCTCGGTAAAAAACTTGTTTATATTTTTGATCCAAGTCATTTGATAAAAGCCACTAGAAACAATTTTTCAAAACATTCATTTCATTTTGAAGGCAAAAGTACATCTTGGTCTTTTGTGCGCTCTTTTTATGAGCAAGACATA